TAAAGACACAAAAAGACAGTGATAAATTGAAAGGCAGGACTCAAAAGACACTTGTTTTGAAATCAGGAGAAACTGATTTTACCTATGATGTAGAATTTCAATTAAGTGCAATTAAATAGTCTTTAAGGGTATCTGGAAGAATTGTACTAGGAAGAAAATGGAGATACTTCATTTGCTTTTATGTCTTTTATTTACTTTAAGAAATCATGGGCAGGTGCCTGTGGCTTTTGGAGCTCAATTCCTTAAAACTATAAAAACCAGAAAGTCAGAGTTAAAGCCACAAATGTCAATTTTAAGTTTCTATTGACAAGAGAAGAGAGTACTATTTATACCATCTCCTAAACTCTTACAACATAACTCGTTACACAACAGGTTTTGTTTTGCTCAATCCATTCTCTTTGCTTGAAGTTATTTTACAGACAGTGCCCCATTCAGTAGGTCAGCCTGCGGGTTTTGAATAGTGTTTTCTCTTTTTAAAAATTTTATAAGAAACTGACTTACAAGCGAGTGGCCATAAGCCAAGACATTAGCAGCATGGTTTTACTGCCAAAAGATAATTGACTCAAGCAATATTATTGACAGACACTGAAATGAGTCATGCCCCCTGAAAATGCCAAATGTACATATTTCATCTGTCAGTAACCTTCTGTGTTCTGGAGAGGAAATATTATTTTATGTTTATAGTCGTTGAATATTGATATTCTACCTTCTACCAAAGCAGTCACAAGAATAAAAGCCATTAGTCCCTGGTTTTTAGATATGTTCTCAACAAGTTCACATGCACCCGATGAAAAATATGAAATAATGTAATATACATTAAGTTCTCAAAAAATACTTTAAAAATTTATTTATTTGCCCAGCTAGATAAGAGGAACTAGATTGATTTTGAAACCTTCAGTTTCCTTTTTTTTTTTTTTAAAACCACTAGCTACTGCTGGCTACTAGTGTTCTTGCCTTTGTAGGAAGTTGCAAAAATTAGAGATGGAGGAGGAGCAGAGAAAGACAAATAGATGGTGAGAAGAGGAGAGTGGGAGAGAGAGTAAAAGAAACAAGTTGGGATTATTTTTGGCTTTCATCTGATTTAGATACTTACTGATTTAGATGATGCTTACTCTTTCTTTTACCAACAGAAACAGTCAAGAGTAAAAAATGCAGCAGTGGGGAAAACTGGGGAATTAAGCCCAATGGTATATGTTGGGGCTGTTTTACCAAACCTGAGCTGTTGGAATCATCAGCTTGAGAGCTTATCTGCTCTACCCTTCTCTTTCCTAGTGGGACTCCTACTACAATGCAAAGAACGTCCTCTGAGTATTATTAGTACCACGGTACTTGTGGTGTGTAATACTTTGAGGGCAAAAGGTTGTTGCAAAGGTGATGAAATCTAAACTGACTTTGGAAACAGTATGGAAGTTCCAGTTTATAAAGTTTATAAAGTTTTATTAGTTTAAGTTAAGAAAACATTGCATCAAGAATTGGCAGCTGTGGTCTGCTCCTCTGCTCCCTGCAAACCCTAAAAGCTAAGAATAGTTTTAATATTCTTAGCAAGTTAAAAAGTAAAGGGAGACTATTGTTTTATGATGTGAAAGACATATTTTAAATTCAATTTTAAATATTATAGAATGTCCTCAAATTTTCAATTAGCAATAATGGTGTCTTGAATAAGCCTCACTGGCTAGGATACTGCCACTATGCAAAGCTGTCCTCGAATTTTCTTTTCTTTTTGGCCTATGAAATCTAAAATCTTTACTATCTAATTTTACAAAATAACGTTTGCAGATTCCTTAGATTAGCATGGAATTTAATATGAGGCAAAGCAGGAACAAGCCACTGAGCCACCATTTACTATGTGATCTTGAGCAAGGCATTTTAAGTCTCAGTTTCCCTAGTTATAATGTATTTGAGTATAATAGTAAGTTCATTTGCATTGCTGAAACCCTCTCTCTTTGCTGGTGTTGTAGTCTAGATATGAAATGTTTCCCAAAGGCTCATAAAGGCTTGGAGGCTTGGTTCCTATGCAGCAATGTCCAGTGATGGGGATGTGGGGTGATAAGTGGATTATGAAGGCCCTGATTAAATCAGTAGGTTGCTCCACTGATGGGGTAGTAAGTGAATAGATTATGGGGAGGTGTGGTCCTTCAGGAGGTGGGGGCCTAGTGAGAGGAAGACAGTTACTGGGCACATACTCTGGAAGGGCATAGCTTCTTTCATGTTCCTTCTTCTGTCTTTGTTTCTTGGCTGCCACAAGGTAAACAGCTTTGCTCTGCCATGCCCTTCTGCCACGATGCTTGCATTGGTTAGCTTCTTTGTTTCTGGGACAAATACTCAAAACCCATAAGTTAAAGGAGGAAATAGCTTATTTGGATCATGGTTTCAGACTATGATCAGACGTTCCAAAGCAGGAACATTAAGGCAAAAGGGTACGGCAGAGCAAAACTGCCCACTTTAAGGTGGCAGGCAAGCAGAGTGGGGGAAAAAGCACCAGAGAAGAAGTAATAGTATAGACTTCCCAAGTATTATAATTTATATTAGAATGTCCTCCAAAAGTCTCATGAGTTCAGATGTAGAGCTTTTGGAAGATGATTGGATTATGGAATGCATCAGTGGGTTGATTCATTGATGAGTTCAGAGCTAAATGTGCTATTAGGAGACGGGATCTGAGGGGAAGAGAAGTATTACTAGGCCTGTGCCTTTGGAGAATATATCTCTCTTCCTGATTCCTCCATTCTTCTTGATTGCTATAAAATGAGTAACCATTTCCTTCCACCATGATGTTTCTGCCTTGGAGTCAGCCAACCATGAACTGAATTCCCTTAACTGTGAGCCAAATTAAACTCATCTTTCAAGTTGTATTTGTTATTGTGCCCAGCAGGAAGGAAAGTTGACTAATACACCCAGATAACCCTCTATGACCTATTCAGGAGCATGTCTTTCTACTTTCTTAGGAGGTTCCCAGTCAATTACTTTGATAAGTTTAACGGTTACAATGTTTTTACTTCTTGTAGAACTAAAAGCAATGGAGCCAGGGAATTATGGACTGAAACCTCCAGAACTGTGAGCCAAAAAAAACCTTTCCTTCTTTTGTCATTCTTTCATAGTTTGTCACAGGGACAGAAAATTGACTAACACAACTGTGTTCCATAGGGATGATAGTTACACCAAAGAATAGTTTCAAGATATATTTCCACATCAGTAGAACAAATGGAATATACAGTATATTTTATGTGAAATTGCATAGAAGGAAGGAAGTAACCATTCACTAGCATCAGGATAGTTACTAAAAATATGATCTTTGCATCAGACAGATTTTATGATCTAACTTGGCAAGTAATGCAGCTTTGCTGTGCCTTATGGTAAAGGTGGGATAACAACATTTCTTAAGGTTGTTCTAAGATTAAATATGTCTAAAACACATGAGACAAGTTCAACTTTGTTAGAGACAAGGGAAATACAAATGAAGACCACACTGAAGTATTATTTTGAACTAAGTGAACTAGTACAAAATTAATGTTCATTAATACATTTAAATCAGTGAAATTTCATAAATTGTTCGTGAAATGTGTGAGTTTATACAAACGCTTGAAAAGATAATTGTGCCTGGTCTTGTACAATATTACATTCGGATAACCTAAGGAACTGTTGGGAGCTGCTGAAGCTGGAAGCTGGCCACATGTGCAAGACCATCCCAAGAGCAAAAAACATGGCAGGTGAGCAGTGTAAAAAAGTAGTTTTGGCCCAGAGAACATCTAGCCCTGAGACCACCCAAACAGTGAGTTGCCAGAACAGGATGTCATGTGACATTACATTGCTAAATTATATAAATACATGCCCCTGCAGTGAGGGGGCACTTCCTTTCCTTGATCTGGAGAGTAAGGGCTCCATCTGACCCCGGCTTTGTCTCTTGTTCATTTTCTCATCCTCTTATAGTCCTTCATCCAAGGAACCTCAAGGGCTGTGTCACAGCCAGGAACAGTAATTCTAGTGCTCCACAGACCTGAAAGAGAAACTAGATGCCAGGAAAAATTTTCATAGCTACTTTGCTCATAACAGCAAAAACTGAAAACAATTGACAGGAAGTGAATAAATAAAGTACACATAGATGCGCAATAGAATATAGTTAAATAGTGGGATTAAAAGTATATTAAATTCCTGACTATATATGGTACTCTTGCTGTGAAATCGCTAAATGAACAAAATTAAACATGTTGCCTAAGTGCATATATATGTGATTTCTTTTGAAAAAGGGAATTAGTGGCAATTCAGAACCTGTTTATAATTGTGATTACCATCCCAGGAAAGAGGCTATCAGTTAGAATAGAAAAGGGCCACATAAGAAGGTGCAACTTGAAAAAAAGAAAAAACAGGTGCAACTTAAATGTTCTTGGATTTGGCATAGGATCAAAGAAATTCACTATAAATATATACAAAAGAAGTCTTTCCGAGGATTTGTGATGACAGTATCATGAGCCAACAAATATGATGAACTCAAGTGAACTGAGGTTCAAATAAATCATGAGAAATAAAAATAAAAGTGATGCAGGATCATTTTAAAAATAATTATATATAATAAAAATCACTTAAAGACAATGAGCTCTACAGTTTACCCATATGCAGAAAATAAAATACAATTAAAATTTTGGTTTCAGAATCTTGCATTATGAATTTTAAAATTTTTCCATCAGTTTACAAAATGTCAAGTTTGTAAAATCGATGTATGCTTCATGGGAGCTGTTAAGGTCAGGCCATCCAACCCCAAACCGGGCTGACCTCAGCCTAGCAACAGCTAGCAGCTACAGAGACTGCTAAAGAGCTCCGCGAGCTCTGAGAGGCGATAGCGAATGTTTCCGCGAGCAGCTACGTCCAGGGCCTTCAGGACACCCAGCTCCGACCCTAAAGAACGCCCCCGGGAGCTTCCGCTGATCCGCTGGGGGCGTGGCCAAGGGGGCGGGTCTGTCCCCAGCAGGGAGCCCAGGTAAGGGATCCGGATCGCAGGAGGGAGCGCCTCGCGTCGCGGTGTGATGACGTCAAGACACAGGCCAGGCGAGGCGCGTTTGGCGTGCGCGGCAGCGTCTGGGCGTTTTGGTCACGGGTCTTGCGCTGAGTGGGAGGCGTGCTTCAGAGCGGAATGTTACCTGCAGCTGTAGCTGGAGATAAAGAAGAGGAACTAGCCGAGGAGGATTGTCCTGAATTGGTTCCCATTGAGACGAAGCACAGAGAGGAAGAGGAAAAGCTTGGCCCCGGCGCTAAGATCCCAGTCACAATTATCACCGGGTATTTAGGTAACTAATCATCCCGGTCAAAAATGCCGCGAGCTGAGATTTTGGGGGCTGCTGGTGTCTCTGGCCTTAGGTACTGGGGCCCTGTGGCCGAGAGCAAACGTGTTTAAAATAGGAACTGGGTCACTCGCTCCTCCTGTGGATTGCCTTTCCATTGAGTAGTGGAAGTTAGCTTCGTGTTTTGAAACAAAGCTTTGAAGCCTGCACCCACTCTTTAATTATCCGTGAGACCTCTGACAAATCAAAGTTCAGATTCCTTAACATGAATTACAAGGACCTGTATGATCTGGCTCTTGCAACCAGCGCAGACTGCCAAAAGACGGCTCAGCACATTAAACTTAACTTACTTCTTAAAGGACGCCAAGTATATTAGCTCCCTTGGGATACTTTTCTTCTTACTGTTACTTATTTGGCTAGATGCCCCTCTTCGATTCTTCATATCATCTAGTAGTCTGCTGAATGGACCATCACATAATTGCCGCATACGTCTAAATTCACCACTATCTCCTCCTGTAATATTTTTAAGTGTCATGGAGGCAGCCATTGTCTTTGGCGTGCTCACTTTCGTCCGAGGCCCAGCATACGTGTGGTCGTCTGATCCATAGTAGATACTTTTGAATGAATGACCTATGTTTTAAAGTCTTTCTTCTTCAAAACATAATTCTCTTAAGCTCTAGTAATTCAATTAGAAGATTTCTTACATTTACATCTGTCTTTAATTTTTACTGATTGAGAAGCTCTGTTTTACACTTGTTTAAGGTTTTCCTCAATGCTCTGGCTTCTTAAAGTCTGTTCTGTCTTTACTTCACCCTTCTGTAATATTGGACTTCATAAATCACTCTAAACATAAGCTTTCATCTCTTCAAAAGCTTTTAAAATAATGTAGGCTAAATGTTGCAGCTATTAATACTCCAACGCTTACTAAATCTTTCCAAGATATACAATACCTACAAAACTTGCAGTGTGTTCAGGCAGACATGAAGAGGTGTAATCAAAATATATGATTAATGATGAATGTTTAAAAATTATTACAGCAAGACACATTGCCACAGCCCCCCTTAAAATGTTCTCCCTCTGTTTGAATACACTTACCCATTGTTCTTGCCACCTTCTGAAGCACTTGTAGAAGTCTTTTGTGTCTTTACCAAATGAGCTCAAAAACGAGGTGAATGGTACTGCAGAAAATCAGGCTTGTAAAAACAGTATGATGTGTCTGTCCTTAGCCACCATAGTCACTGGGTCTGGCAACCTGTGACTTCTAGCTTTTCCCCAAAATCAAATCAACTGTGAGGTAAACATTTTGAATAGATTCAGGACATCCAGAGGCAGCCACAACAGTGCAACTAAAGACATAAAAGACTTTTCAGAACTGCTTTAGAAAGTGGGAAGAATGATGGAAGAAGTATGTTCAAAGAGGAGGATTTGAACAGAATTAATGGCCATGAGCCTTTGACATACATTTTTCATTTAAATGGGATATTTTTAAGTCACAGTGCATAAGTTATGTATAGTTAAAGACTTTAGTCACACTTTTATAATAAAGTCACTAAGAAAATAATATTCTTTATTCATATAACTGAACAATGCTGCTGTGAAGTGAAGGTTTTCTTCCTTTAAAAAGCTTAGTTTGATTCACAAAATGTTTATTGTTTGACAAGAATATACAGTACTACGCTTAACATGCCACCTACTGGACTGAGTCAGTATAGCTTTATGAATATGTATTTCTAAATTCTATTTGGTCTTAACACTTCCTAATTCTATTCTCCATTTTGTAAAAATCAGTTTCTATGGATTATTTTAAGCATGCTAAAAGTAGCCATGTAGTCTGAATTTCTATCTGGTTAATTTATGTGGAAATAAAAGGTCTCTATATGTAAACTTTAGGGATGTAAACCAAATATTCTTGGTTTAGAAACATTGTCATCATATAAAAGGATTTGCATATTTTACATTTTTAAAATTACACCCTTTATTTCTTAGAAGTCATTATTTCATTGATTCCTTAATTAATAGAAGTTTTAGATGCCCTTATGATATAAGAAGGAACACTAGTCAGATTGAAGAAAAACTGATTGAACTTGTAGGATTATTTGTAAATACTTAAATGAAGCATTTATAAAGGATGTTAGAGTAGTTTTGAAAGATTGCTTTAATCTTTTTTGGAATCCCTCGAACCATGAGTGTCCAACTGTTTGGCTTGCCTGGGTTGTACTAAGTGAAGAATTGTCTTGGGCCACATATAAAAACATATAGTTAATGTATATATTTACAAAATTTCCTTTTAAAATATGTTTTATTAGGTATAAAAATCATATATTATTACAGGGCCCCATTAGTAGCTGTCCCAGGCCACATATGTCTCACAGATTGAAGGTTAGACACACCTGTGTGTATACCATACTAGAGTATTACGTGAAAAATCCCACATAGAGGCTTAAAAACATTAGAATTTTAAAACTATCGTTTTTTATGACCTTTAAAATTAGTCTTTGAATTTTGTTGCTTTATATATATATTTTGTAGGTGCTGGGAAGACAACACTACTGAACTACATTTTAACAGAGCAACATAGTAAAAGAATAGCAGTTATTTTAAATGAATTTGGTGAAGGTAAGTAGAATTTAATAAGTGTCATATTGCAAGAACTTATAGGACAGTTTATTCCATTGGTGAATTGAAATTATTTAAAAATGAGAATGGAAGGTATCATAATGTTAACATGCTGCTGTAGATAGCTTTGAAAACATCAATTTCTTTCAAGTTTTATTTTGTATGGATTTGGCATACTGGAATAATGGTTTCTATAAAATTTTATTTTGTGTAACTTTGGATTTCATGCTAACATGCTAAGAGAATCAATTTGGATTTTTACATAAAATAAGTGACTTCTGAAGTAAAACTCTATAAACATTTGAAAGAAAGTGTTTTTAGCAACTAAAAAGTGTTTTTGTAATGACTACATATTGTGTGTTACAGCTCATGAAAAACATTTGAAATGCTTCAGATACAAGTTCACCTTGAATGTTATCTGTAAAGCAGTTAAAACTAAAGAATTTAGAAATAAGTTAAGGGCTTCAGGATATAGCTCAGCAGTGCAGCGCCTGCCTGGGAAGTGTGAGATCATAAGTTAAATCCCTGATGCTAAAGAAAAAAATTTAAATATCTAGTCTCCATCCTCAAGCACTCAGATTATTAGTAAAAATGTATGTGCTTGGGGCTGGGGATTTAGCTCAGTGGCATAAGCGCCTGCCTTGCAAGCAGGTGGTTGTGAGTTCGATCCTCAGTATCAATAAAAAGAAAAAGAAAAAGAGAAAGAGAAAAGAAAAAAAAATGTATGTGCTTAACTTCTCAATGTTTTGGCTTTAATATTGAAGTATAGTAAAATATCTGTGTATCAGTGTTAGACATAATATTTTGGTTGCTTTTATAGGAATTTTTCTTCATAAGTATGAAGTTCAAAAAAATTTCACTTTTTACCAAAAATACGGTTTCTGTTAGAAACATTTTTTAAAAGGTATTATGTTTTCAGTTGTAAATTTTTCAGTTGTAAATGAGTAAAAGAGCTAGGTTTGATGAGCAGAATGGAATACATGTTAGTAAAACTTGATTTCTGGACCTAGTGGACTAAAGAGAACAATTCTTTTAGACAAAATATAGGTAAGCTTTCTTCTCTTCTTTATTTTTTGTTTTCTTTTTGCAGTGGTAGGCCTCATACATGCTGGGTAAGAACTCTACCACTGAACTATACCTCCAGCGCCTTTGAAATCCTGAGATTTCTAGAAACAGTTTTTTTCGTAACTTCTTACTAACTTTATCTTGCTCACTGATTACATTTGCTCTATTTTATTTCTGTTTTTCTTGGTTGTTTGGAGTACTTTTCAGTTTTGTCCTTCACATTCCTTTGAAAGCTCTTTATATCACCTCGCTGAAATATGAATGGAAAATATATAAATGAAAAACTGCCCCTCCTACATTTGCATTTACTGTTTGTTTTACTGAACTTTAGAACTGTTCTCTGACTTTGGTATATTGTTTGCTTTCTTTTTCTTTTTCTTTTTTTGTTCTGGGGATTGAACCCAGAACAGATGCTAGGTAAGTGCTCTAGCCCGGAGCTGCAGCTCCAGCCCTGGTGTATTTCTTTAATGCAGGCTAACTAAAGCATTTAAAATCATTCTTGTTACAAACATCTTATATATGCTTCTTTCCAAGTAAGCATTAATAAGAAGCTTTTGTGTATTTGATTAAAAGTTTAATTTTTAAATGAGAGTATGATACGTTGGCTGAAACCTTCCAAATGAACCAAGATGTTTATTCATACTGGGAATACTGTGTAATCTGTCCAAAAAAGCCAATCAATTTAGAAGAATATTGAAAGGAAAAAAATAGATAAGACAATTTTATAAGAGTTCATAGGGCATATAAAAAGCAATATGTAAAACATTGTAGTCTATCTAGAAAATTGGCTATACGCAAGGGAAAATGTTTTCAATGTAGTTACTTTATTAAGAAATTGGAATTAGCAAGTCAGAGGCTTCAAGAAGTATGTATGTTCATTAATTTTGAGTTCGCCTTTTTAGAGATTTAAAACGTCTTAAAGGCAAAAATAACCTAAAGTATTATAATTTCAATTTTAAGACCAAATGGATAGAATGAAAGAATAAGAATTCTACAATGAAGTTACTTTTTTAAAACCTTCATGTTTGTTTTTGGTTGGCTTGAAAATGGTCTAAAACTCCTGTTATTTTTTTAGGAAGTGCAGTAGAGAAATCCTTAGCTGTGAGTCAAGGTGGGGAGCTCTATGAAGAGTGGCTGGAACTTGGAAATGGTTGCCTCTGCTGTTCAGTGAAGTAGGAATGTATTTATTCTGCTTGTTAGTTTACTAGAAATATGTATTCAAGCTTTGATTTTTCTGTGTAAATTGCTTGAATTTAGACAGTTTTTAAATGTATTTTTAGTTAAGAAATAAATTTTGAATTACTTTCTTAAAGTATTTCTAACTGTTTTTTCCTGTTCAACACATTTGTCCTCTTATTGAGCTTGAAGAATATTTTTCTATGTCAGGGTTTCTTTAATAAGAGGACATGCTGTGCATGGTGGCATATGCCTATCATCCCAGCACTGGGAAGGCTAAAGCAGGAGGACGAGTTTAGGCCAGCCTGGGTGGCATGATGAGTTCAAGGTCAGCCTGAACAGCATAGCGAGACCCTGTCTGTCTGTCTGTCTCTCACAAATACACAACACATATACCCCATACCTGATAGATAGTGGCAGCTAAAATATTTGTTGGATAAACTATGAAAATTACTACATGTACTATTGATTTTGTGTATTCTAGTGCGTTAAATTTTTTCTGCATCATGTACTACCTTACATGTTTGAATCAAGTGTATTAAGTAGGATGAAGTAATAACTGAATTTTTTTGTTGTTTTTTTGAGATAGGGTCTCGCTTTGTAACCCAGGTTGGCTTTGAATTCGTGGTAATCTTCCTCCCTCAGCCTCCTGAGTGCTGAGATTACCAGAGCATACCATCACTCCTGGCTTAATGTTGGTTTTCTCAACCAAAACGTGGTACAGTGTATTCCTTAATTTCTGATATTGTAAGAAAAATAGATATTACTCAGAGTAGAATTGTTCACTGATTCAGGATAGAACTAAATAGTATTTAATGATACTGCTCGTAACTACTATAAGTAATAAATTTTATTATTTTGGATGACTTTTTTCTCAGAAAATTAAAAATAAGAAATACTCAATTTTAACAAGTCAAAGTATTAACTCATTATATACATAATTTCTTTTAACTTATCTGTATATGTATCTATTTCATTTTCCTTACTGGTTAATATCGGACAGACATTTTGTTAGATGTTTAGGAAAGAGTTACATTTTCACATGCTGAAAGATATTTTTATGTTATTGAATATGTTGTGAAGTGTTTATAATAATCATTTAAAAATATTTGAGTAATCAACTGGCATGTTTTGATCTTCTCTAGGGACAGTGGCCTTAGGGCTATTGAGAATTTGATGCAGAAGAAGGGGAAATTTGATTACATACTGTTAGAGACCACTGGATTAGCAGATCCTGGTAAGAAGTGACATTATTAATAGCCACAAGATAAATCTTTGACATTTTGAATGTATGTATCAGAGACATTTAAAATAAATACTAAAGCTTTACTTTAGATTTAAACTTTTTGGTTCACAACAGGAAAATTCTAGCTTGTATCAGATGAACACTCAGAGTGCTTCTTGGCACTTTTAAGCTGGTAATAGGATTTGAAGTTTTATTTCTTGATTTCCAGCCCTTTTTATCCTGTGTTTTTTTTTTTTTTTTTTGTCTTTTTTATTTTTACCGGTACCGGGGATCGAACTCACGACTGCCTGCTTGCAAGGTAGGCGCTTATGCCGCTGAGCTAAATCCCCAGCCCTCTATCCTGTATTTTGAGATGAGGTCTCACTAAGTTGTCCAGGTGAAGCTTGAACTTGTGATTCTCTTGCCTCCGTCTCAAAGTGCTGGGACTGCAGGTGTGTACTACCTAGATGTGCTACCACATCTGGCTGTAAATAGTAAATAATAGTTTCAGAAATAGAATTCATGTCTGTTTCTGCCATTTTATAGAGAAAAACTTGATACTTTTGAGAGGAAAAAGATCTCAGAAAGCTTTTGTACATTTGTAAGTATTAAAAATAGGTTAATATTTCTTCTAATGTTTTATAGAATAATGATTTTATTGTTTGGATAAAGGTGGATAAATTATAAAAGAATTAAATAGTACCAAAAATAGAAAAGTAAAAGAGAAGTTCAAAAATCCTGTATTACTACCATGAAGTACCAGTTAATACATTTTCACTCCAGACATCTCTATGATAGTGCTCCATGATGTATGTTGAATGGCAGCATTCATCTCAGCTGGGAGCTTGTTAGAAATGCATGCTATTAGCTGGACTTGGTAGAACAGATTTGTGTTCTTAAGACTGTGAGAGGCTGAGTTAGGGGATCACATGGTTGGGCCTAGTGACTCAAAATAACAGCAAAAAAGGACAGGGTTGTAGTTCATTGGTAAGGCCTTATGTTTGATCCCTATATTGGAGGAAGACATGAAACAAAACAAAACAAAAGCATGTTATTGAGACCAGTGCAAGTCTAGTTAATCAGTGTCTGTTGGTGAAGCACAGTGAATCTTTTTAGTAAGTTCTCCAGGTGATTCTTCTACTAGTATTAGTTTGGAAAGCCCTGCTCTATGTACTTCTGAAAGCTGTCTAAATATGCATAGTATTTTAATAACTATTAATTTACTTTTACTTGAATGTAGCAGAAGAAAGAGAAACTGAAGAGTAAGTGAAGGAATATGCTTTTCCCCCATAGAAGATATAAATTAAAGAGGAAAAATAAATTACAAAGAATATAAACGTTTTTAAACTTCAATTTTCAAATGAGTATTGACGCGATCTCATAAATGATGAGCAACTTATACTCTTGGCTTTGTTCCATTTCCTAATTTTATTGGATTGTATTCTTTATGTTGTCAAAGTTTTAATACCTACATTCTTTCATAATTTTTTGTTCTGTATTTAAGTAGTTTAATGCTCATTATCAGCACCTTCTCTTCTTTGTCCTGGAGTTAATACATTTTTCGACTTTGGGTGATTTAGTGCTTTCCTGGTATGTGCAAGGCCCTGGGTTGCATCTATAGCACCACGGAAAAACAAAACAATTTATCTCCTGATTAAACTGAATTTTATGGTCAGGTAATTTCAAGTTTTTGATGCTGTATTCTCCGAGTTTTTGCATAGCTCCTGTCTTAGTTACTTTTTACTGGTCACTGAGACAAAATACCTGATGCACCAAGTTGGGAAAGGTAAGGTTTATTTCTTATCGTTCTTGGAAGTTTCAGTCCATACTCAGTTGGCTCCAAGGCAGGGTGGCATGGCAGGGCTGCAATTCATGGCCTCTGCCAATAGCAAGGCGGAAACTGGCAAAAGAGCAAGACACACCTCCTTCTTGCCATTACATCACATCCTGGCTCCACCCCTATGTGGCTGTAGCACTGATGCCATCAATAAGCACTAGACAATGAACCAATCACAAATGCATAATGCAAACACATGAGGCCTGGGGACCACTGACATAAACCATTCCTTATTTGAGAATATTTGTCTTTTGTTTTACTATTCAAAGGATTATTTGGTTAGTTATAGAATTTCTGGGTCATAGTTTTTTTTCCCTTAGTACTTTGCAAATTGCAGCATAATTTCTTAGTATTTTTTGATTGGCTGAATTTCCTGTCTAGTGTTTACTCATTTTTTCAGAATTTGTAAATAGGACATTCTCTAAGTTTCAGTGCTTGCTCTTTTCTTTAATGTTTGAGCCTGTCTGGCATTCCTGAAATACAACTTGGCAGTTATCCTTTCAAAACAAACACTTACATAATAACTTTATGGGCACTGTTTTATTATGTTGGAACATTCCGTGTTACTGTAGAACTTGGATTCCTCTCTCCACCTGGAAAGTGACGTACTTTTTCATTTAAAATGCCTGAAATTTTTTTTTTTTATTTTTAAAGTTCAGTAATACACAAGATACATTTTTCTTGAAGTACAATGTACTGTTAGTTCTTATGAGGACATTTTCCTTGTTTCCATGAATAATTTTTCTGTCAAATTATTGGATGCTCTGCTTTTTTCTTTCTTTTTGTCAGTAGTTATGCTTCTACTGGTGTCTCTTCTGTTCCTTACTTTTTCAAATGAAGTTAAGCAGGTCAGTTCAGTAATGGGTTACACATTTCTTTAGCATTATCTTTTTATACTATTGTGTTTTTTATTTCCTTTAAGCTTGTTTTTATTTAAATTAAGATTGCATTACTTGTAAATTTTTTGTTATAAAGAAGTCCTTTGGTTTCTTTAAAGGTATTATTTTTGGTTTCTTGCTTTATTTTTCCTTCCAGAATGGGTTCTATGCTATGTGTGTGCTCTGTTCAATTTTTCAGTATTTTTTCTGTCCTAACTTTAATTTTTATGTTTGCTTTTTCTGCTCTGGTACATGTGCATGCATTTATGCTTGATGTGGGAAGCTCAGAGTACTTTATTTATTTAGATATAGTGATGAAGAATTCTGTGTAATACTCCACCCATGTTATCTGTTCATATTTTTCTTGAGTCCCAGTTTAAAAGGTGGATATTACTGGGGAGTAGAGAAAGGGAAGCAAAGGAAAACCAGATAACCTAAAAATCCGAATGAGGCAATGTGACTGTTAGCTTTTGTTCTCTAAAAATACTCCATGTCTCGCTCTTGGGAGTGCAGTTACTGGAGTATACATCAGTATAACCTTGTGTGGAGACGTCACTGTACCCCAGACCTTTTGTTTTTCTCTCAGGCCTAGAAAGTGACTTTCTCTCCCGAATGTGGAAATGGTGAGAAACTTATTCATTAAGTTTTTTTAAAAAATATTTTTGTTGATTTTTTTCTTATATTATTCCCTCATTTTCACTTGGCATTTTGTAAGGTATTTCTGATAAGTACTAGGATTTTGTAAACTCGTTTCCTACCATCTCGTTGAGGATGGAAATACAATTAGGAATGACCATACTTACATAGAACTTTGTTTCTTATTTGGACTGTCACTCTTCAAAATTTATGGTATGAGGTCGTATATTCTTTTTTGTTTTTTAAAATTTTTCATTTTTATTTTTTGTGGGTTTTGGTTGTTGTTTCATTTTGTTTGAGATAGTGTCTCGCTATGTAGTTCAGGCTGGTCTTGAACTCATGTGGCTAAGGTTGGCCTCAAACTCATGATGATCCTCTTGCCTCAGCCTCATTTTTTTTGATTTTGAAGAAAGGAAATCTGTAATCTAACTTGGCATGGTACAAATGACATTTTAGGTTATTTTTTGTAATGTGTAGGGCAGCTGTCTTGGGGATCTATAGAATGTTTAGCAGTCTCCTTGGCTTCTCACTTGATGCCAGCAGCATTCCCCTAGTGACAAATAAAAATATCTGTGGACGTTGCTAAATACTCCCTGGGAAGAAAAAAAAAATCACTCGGTTCATTCACTTGATTATTGCAGCAGAACACCCACATCCAAATTTTAAATAATTCTTTTCTTATGTAGCTGGTATATATTCTAGCAAAGTAAGCAACATATTTAGAATAAAAATTCTAATACACTCTTACAGTTTACCTTAATAATAAGCAAATGTTAGTGGTCTGACTTACAAGCTAGTTATTTCTATAGAAATCAGTAAATTTTAAAAATTGTATGATTTATGTACAGTTTAAGTATTTTACTGAATGAAAAAATTAATATTTTTGTGACTGTTTGGAATAGTGATATAATAGATTTCTCTCCTATTAATTAAAATCATGTTTTTAGTCAAGAAAGTGAAGAAAATTCTTATTGGCAATTCAGTTGTTTCCTGTTTAGGAGACTGACACTCTCCAGTCCTAAGTTAAATAATTGTCATGGTAAAGTAATTTCCTTGAAAAGGACAGACATTGATTCAGCCCCTGTAACTCACAAATCCTATTTCAGTCAAATTGGAAAACTATTAAGTTTTTGGGAAAAAATCAATAGGTATCAGGAAACCATTAGATCTTGTGGCCCTTGCTATATCTTGCATGAGTAATCACTGTAAACAGCTGACAGGTATTTCATTGTTGACACAGGGTGATGCTTGGGGGACCGCATCTCATCAGGGTAGCGGACAGCTTTGGACAGTGGAATGAGTTCGGTTATCCTTGTTCTTTCCCTGAGCTCATTCTTTTAGACAGCACTGTCACTAAGTGGGCCTATGATGCTTTGAAAAATCAAATACCTTCCTTGCTGTCAGTTTTCCTTTTCTGTCTTTTGGCATACTAATCGGGGTGTGTGGTTTGGTACTGAACCAGTTTTCTGTCAAAAACAAGTTTTAATTTCTTAGAAATAATTCTTCCTCAGACCCAGGTTTTATGGTAGTACCAACTGAATAGTGTGAGAATTAGTAATGCCAGAGAATTTTTTACTTTAATTCTTACTCCTTTTTTCTTAAAAAAGTGTACATTGATTTACTTATTTGTCATTTGAACAAGCAATTTTGGAATTATCTATCTTTGGTTGGTTTTCCTTTGAAGATGTTTCATTATTTATGAACCATATGATTATATTTAGGAGATGACAAAATAAAAATGTCTTATATGTACATAGCCATAGTGTCTGGTTATTTAATAATATTTATTAGGAAATCATTTTGTCATCTGTATAAACTTCTGTTTGTGTGTGGTAAGAGTTGATCCTTTTTTGAGGAAATAGGGAGCAAGGGAGAGGTAACTGTAAATAAATAAAAAAAGGTCTTATTACAGTAAGTCCCACAAGCAGATTGCATCTCAGATTTGATTTATGTGTTTACCTGCTGATTCCATTAAACAAATTAAACAAATAAAATGTTTTGCAATTTGAAGAAATATTTTTATATGATGAATATTATCATAATATATATTTTCAGGTGCTGTGGCTTCTATATTTTGGGTTGATGCTGAACTAGGGAGTGATATTTATCTTGATGGTAAGTTAAAAAAACTTGTTTTTAGTTGAAAGGTCTATGATTAAGCTCATTTTGTTAATTATAGTGTTAATTCTTTGTCTTATTGCTCTTCTAAAACTGTTTGTTTATGATGAAGTAAACTTTTATGTGGACTCCAAAGCCCCAAATAGTGGCAGAACTGAGTTTTCAGGCTTTAATCTCAGCTCCTAGTTTAGTGCTTCCACTAAGGCTTTTCTTTAAAAATGTTACGTAGAATTTCTGTGCCTTTGGTTGGTTGATTTATGTGCTTCGTTAGAGCTTTGTATTTTAACTAGCCAGATAATATAAGGATCCTATTTTTGCTTTCTTTCACTTTACCTTGAAGATGAGAATTAATTACACACATGAACTCTTAATTTATTTCACACTTTTGTTATTCTTACTTGTAAATTAAACTTGATATACTTTCCTTAATTAAGCAGTTATGTTCCCTCCCTCCAGCTATCCACCCATCCATCCTCCTTTTTCTCTTACCTTTCTTTACATCAATTTTAATAGACTAACGGGTAAAATTGAGGAACCATGGACGCTGGGCTTCATTGGACTCCATTATATCTGATTTGTAGTTGCTTGAATTACAGAGGCATCCTTAAACTCATTCTGCTGTTTTATTTTGAAAAAATTATTTAGTATATATTCAGAGATTGTTGAACTATGTGTAATTGATTGTTAGGGAACTTAGATACTTGACATATGTAAAATTTTTGTGGCTTGATTTGGTAAGGAATATTAGAAATGAGATATCCTTAGATTCTTTTTTTCCCCCATAGCGTATTTATTTTCTTATATATTTCCCCAAACATCCAGCATAAAAATATATTGTTCTAAATAAAACATTTTCATATTGTTGAATTCAAATTGGTACATATTTCAGTTATCCCTAATGTCAGGTAATACTTATCTTTCTGGATGCAATACAAATTTATTTCTGTAAATCATTGTAAAATTTCAGTATTTTAATGATAACCAAATTTGCCCTAAAATTTTTTTAAAATAATAATTTAAATGTTGCCAGGGATTTAGCTCAGTGGTCTAAAGCACCTGCCTGGCAAGCACAAGGTTATGATCAGTTTGATCCCCGGTACCAAAAAAGAGAAAAAAATTTAAATTTTAAGAAAAGTCTTGATTATGTGAAAATAAATTGAAAGTGGCTTGTATCATCTAATTTATCACATTTTGCTTCATATTTTAAATGCCTTATTTTGAATTGTGAGCTTTTAAACAGCAAATCTTACTTTTTGTGAACCTTAAAAATCTATGTTTATATTTTCTATAATCTCTTAAAACAGTGCAAGGCACTGGGTACATATTTGAAATCCATTTACATATTTCTGTGATTGAATTAAATTGCAGCATTGGTAAGAGAAAAAATTTTGTTCGATTGAGATTGGTTTTTCTTCTCAAGTATAGTTGTACAATATTAACAAATGTCCTTTTAGATAAAGGATAATTAGAATATTTATTCTTTTGTAGGTATCATAACTGTGGTAGATTCAAAATATGGATTAAAAGTAAGTTAAAACATTATAAATTATAATTGTAAGGATCTAGGAATATGTTTATATATGTTTGAAATCTTTAATAGAAATCTTTTTCAAAATAGTAACCTGAATAATACATATAGTTTGTTTTAAAATTATTTTGTTTTTAAATTAAACATTTTGTATTAGTCTGATTTCCTATTGTGATAAAATTTGGAATTACTATAATACTTTGTATATGGGGCTAGGGTATAGTTTGGGTATGTGTAACTCCTCCTTAGAATTCAGTAAGTTTGATAAAAGATGTTAAAGTTGTTAAACATGTGTTAATACGTTTGATAGTATTATTAAGTTTGATGGAAGATGTTGAGGTTGTTGAAACATATGATCTTATTTTTGATACAGAGTATGATCAAACACATAGCCAACAATTGTTTTTTAAAGTACTGCTTTGCTTCTTTGAAGACTTTAGAAGTTGTATGTAGAATTAATGAGGAGAAACTTTACTAAGTGATATCCTGCTGTGAATATTTTCGTTTTAACTACTAAGGTCCTCTAATGCATTTAATTGGCTTTGATTTATAAAATGCACGTAATAGGATCTTTATTTTTATTTTTTATTTTTTTGTTGCTGGGAATTGAACTCAGGAACGTGTGCTTGCCAGGGCAGGTGCTTATACAACTGAGCTATATCCTCGGCCCTCAAGATCTTTAAAAGAATTGTGCTGCATAAAATAAAATAGTGTTTGTCAACTTCCCAAGTGAAATATTAAAGGCATCCGAGAGTAAAATTTTTCTTTTCTCCCAGGCTCTATTCCATGTCAGTCTGGATGTATGGATAGACCCTAGAGTAGTAATTTTTGGAAGTTTCAGTGTAATATTTAGAAATGTTTGTCTGTTGTACTCTGCAAATTTATTTCTAATCTTCAATGAGGTTATGCTGTAGTTTCGAAAATATGTTGGGGTTATCAAATGGCTACTAATACCCATTCCTAGCCCTTCACTTCTCAAAATAGAGTGCACTAACTGGAGAAATTTGGAAAATAATTCCTTTTTTAGAATATAAAATTTAAATTTATGAATAGTGTTAAGGAATTAAGCGCACTCTCAAGTGTTAGTTTTGCTCAGAAGAAATGTAATGAGTATTTTGAAATTATTTCTAGCAAAATGTTAATGGAGATTGGAAAATACCCCATAAAATTCTTCATTTTGAGTCTTTATTATAGTCATGTTTGAATTTATGTTCTGTGCAAATTTATTCTCCAATTTGGGATACTCATGGGATAGAGAGCAGTCACAACATTTCTTAGTTTTTTGGTAGACATCACACCATACTTAAAGTCAAATTCTTGGTTATTTTATGATTATAAGAATAATTTTGTATGTACAGCTGGATGTAGAGAGAAGTTAAATAGAATCTATTATCAGCATGATACAGGCCAAAAAAACAAAGTGACATTCTGAATAATGCAAACACAGTATACGTTTAACCTCCTGCCACCTTGATAAAACCTCTTAAATTATTAAATCAATATACCTACACAAAACTGACATATTGTCAGGATAATGGAAACTTTAGATTTTCTAAGTTGGGTGCCAGATAAATAACTTTGCCTTTATATAAAGAATTTGCCAACTTGTCCAATTCCTCCGGTTGCAAAGCTTGACCTCAGTAGCTGCTTGTGATTCAGGAATTCTGAGGCAGTACAAGTAATGACACTTGGATAATGGGCAGCAATTTAAGGGTGTCATGCTTCACAGAGCCAGCCCATCACAAGTAAAGCTGAGAAATGGTACCCTGTGGCCAGCCAGCCAAATTGAAACTGAAGTGGTAATTGATATCATGGGCTATCACTCTAATGGGATTGTCACCCATTGATCTGAAATATTCATTTTTTAATCATGGGCAAAGAATTGGACAACTTAAAATGACAGCTCTCTATTTTCAGGAGTTGACACCCAGCCTACTGACATTGTTCTTTTGAGGTCTACAAATGTGACAGACAGCATTTAATGCAATAGAATCACTGAATGAAGTTACACAGGAAAGGTCAAGTGAGAGGTTTCTTTTTGGCCCTTTCTGTTATATTGTACAAGTTGTTCAGGCAGTTTAGTCAAAACAGTTTGGCTTAGAAAAGGTCACAAAAATAAATACTGACATACAATATTTTAAAAACCTGAAATAATGTTACATCTATAACCAATTCCTTTAAAAGCAATAGCTGCTTCTTTTTTCCTTCTTTTTAATGGCATTCCGTGAATGTGACACTAGATTTATTTCTGCTTTGGTCAGCAACAGTATTCCTTCTTTGCTACTTTTAAGATAGTGTTTTCTTTGCCATTTTGGTTCAGCTTCTTTCTGCTGAAAAGGATGCTCTATAGCCCTTCTTAACATTCTATCTATAATAGTATTATTATCCTAAAGAATTCCTTTTCATTTTTCTCACTAGCTTAATTGAGGTATAACTGACAAAATTCATATATTTAAGTAGATAACTTGATGTTTTGATGTACATATTTTATGAAAAACGTGAAACAAGGTGTAACTCATCAGTGAGCTGACATAGTTACCGTTTGGGGAGGGATCTGCGGTAAGATCTAAATTCAGCAGATTTCAAGTATTCAATGCAATAGTCTTAGCTATTCTCCCTGCTATCCTTAGTTTTCCATAATTTATCTGCATAATTGAAATTTTGTATCCTTTGAACTCATACTCCCCCATTCCATTTTGTTTCTGGTGGGCTACATTAAGGAGTTTGAACTTTTACATATTGTATATTTTGAGGTTAATCAGTGCCCAAATTATTCTTGTCTTTTTAAATATATAAGCAAGAGCTACAGTCTCTCAGCAGAGAGGTGGGATCCGTTGGACAAACAAAACATTATGCCATATAGTAGAATAGAGTATCAATTTACATTTATTTTTGTTCTATAAAGGAAATAGCAGATAGAAGTTTTTGTCTTTTTGCAAAGTTTGACTTGTAGAGCAAGAAAGTTTCTTAAGGGAACGTTGGGCTGACATCCAGAAGAAAAAATTGTTAGTATGTATTTTTGTTTGTGTAGCTTTCATATGTGTATAAAATAACGGCATTTCTTGCTTCTGCTATAATTATATGATTATTACGTTCCTAATAGAGTTGTGCATATTAGAAGGCTTTTCCTTTAGAAGACTTTAGCTTACTTTTATATTTAATATTTCCTAGCTGAAGAGAATAAATCTTAGTTCCCCACCCTATCCTCCAATTAGTTTTGAGTAGAGATTTCTAATCTTTTGAAGAAGTAAATGGATTCAAAAGATTGTAACATTGTAAAACCACCATTTTATCAATCTCAGATGGAAATTTTAAAACCTCTTAATTTTTATATGGCTTTTTATGTCTCATCAATTCATGACTAAATCTAAATAGCTTATATTTATGTGCAAAAGAAGTTTCAAAAGGTTAGTGATACAATATTTATACTTTTCAATGTTATAGACTCATCCAGATGCAAATGCCTTGCTAATAGTATATAATTCTTAAGTAGATTTACTGCTCAGTGGAGAAGGATTTGTTGTTACATGTTAGATAACATTTTTCAAATAATATTTATGTACCCATGTCAACAAATGGGAGGGTATTTGCACAGTCTATTCAAGGAATATTTCTCATACCTATGTGCCGGGCTGTATTCTGACTTCTGGCAGTAGCTTCATTCTCTAGAGACAGAGTATATAATTATAGGACTTATTATTCCACACCTAACGTGAAAATAAGTATGTCATTGCCATGGTGTTAGTTTCATTTTGTTTCCTTCAAATATTATTTGATAAACTTGAAAAAGTTTGTTTTGTTCATAGTCTTAACCAAAATTATTAGATAAAATCACTACCAACTTGTTTAGGTTTCAAACTGCCCAAGTACCTTCGTGATTGTTCTGTAGTAAATTATGAAACTGGCTGGGTGAAATCATTGTGAATATAATTTTTGGGTAATCTTTATAGATATATTCTCTTAGGCAGCTATTAACACTCATGTAGCACTATGCAGAAGGGTGATTGTGTATGATATGAAAAGACAATCACAAATTTTTAAAAACTATATTCACTTTACTTCTGTTAAATATGGTGTCAATTAAAAATGTACCTTTGTTGGTGTGAGTGTGGACTAGCTTCCAATCATTGCAAAAAAATTATATCTCTATATAAATTTATATATATATATAAATTATATCTCTATATAAATATATATAAATTATATCTATATATAAATATATATTATATATATAAAATATATATAATATATAAAAATTTATATATATTAAATATATATAAAATATATATTTTTTATATGTATATAAATTTATATATATATCTGATGATGCAATAAAAATACGGTCTCGTGTGTTGGTAAGGATATTTTTCCTTTATAAAAGAAGACTGATCACTTTCCATAGTTGTTATAAAGACTAAATGAGATAAAACATAATTTATAAAGTTCAAATACAATGAGTACTACTATAATCTGGTTGTCTCTAGCTCTCAGGAGCCAACTTTTTATTGTGATAGGGAACCTGCATTGACAGTTGAAATGAAAACATGATTTTCCAGACAACCTTAAGGCACTGGTGACTTCAGGATATAAAGAAGTCTGTGGGGTGTGGGGAGGGAAAAGTCCTGCTTTCAGAGAGATGACTGCTACCACATGTGCTTATAAATCAATATCAAAGTAATTTTGGGGGAGCTAGCCTGACTCTAGAGCAGTGGTGGAGAAACTGTCACATGTGCTGTAGTGGGCACACAGAGCCGTTTCTGTCAGCATGTGAGCCAAGTGTATGAATTGTTTCTTCTAAACTAAACTCTCAGTTTCAGGTTTAACTTAAAAACACAGCACTGGGCCCAGCATACCCATCCCTTATTTTGCTACTGTTTATGTGTACTTTAGTGTAATAGGACCCAGCTGTACATGTCAGTACCTTTCCCTGGGGAATACAGGAAGCAATCTGTGTGTTTACCCACTTGGTATGACAAATGGCAAGGTGTGTGGACCTGTGAAAAAGTGACAGAATGGAAATTTTACCCACCTTATGCTCCATCTAACTAGTTTCACATTTCTACCTGAGCATCATAGAGGGTCCAGTAGACCCACAGCACTCCAGAATTTGTTAAAAAAAAGTTTGATCTTTCTGGTAGGAATAGACCAGTTCAGTACAATGGCACATGAAAAACCAGATTTGCAAGTTTTGTATTAGGTCAGAAGTAAACCACCAGATTATTCGTGCATAGATGATGAAGATAGTTCATTATGGTAAAATACATGTTTTCATAACAGAATAGTAGTATGAATGGATGATGATGATGATGACCATGATGATGATGACAATGACTTTGTCATTACCTGTGTGAGCCAAATTCCTGTGACTGATATGGAGCAAAAATGGAGCAAAAAATGCAGACCTCCTTGAGTCAAATGATGAAGAAAATAATAGTGTGACTATGTATTTGACTAGTCAAAATGTTGTGAAATGGCCACACAACCAAAGGGAACAATCCAGTGTAGGAACTAGGTCTGAAAACATAAGATCTTGGCAAGGGTGAAAGGTTTTAGACAGAATGCCAGCACTGCCATTCAGTGTTGGAAATTGTAACATGATATTCTATAAGATGCTGTGAAAGATACAAGGGTTGAAATGCAAGTAAAGCATTCTGTATGCACCAATATTCAAGTTCAAAAATGTATTTATTATGATACCTCACCAGCTGAACTGAAAACGTTCACAGATCTACTATACTTAGAAATTTTCCATGGTGATCACAGGAATGTAAAGGACCTATTGAAAAGTGATGGGTCAAAATATGGCTTAAAAATTTAAGCCCTTGTAAATGTTAAGACTTATGTTTTCACTTTAGATGTCTATCCTGGAACTCAGCCATCATGATGGTCCTTATTGGTGCAGGAATAAATCAATTGATGTGAACAGACTTGTTGTTCCCACCCATCTCTCAAACTAATCAGAATATGACATTTGACATTTGATTTACCAGTTTCCAATTGATATTACATTTGCTAATGGAGCACAAGTGGACCAGTGCAGGAACTGTATGCAGGAACAAAGCAGAAATTCCATGTGAAATGTTGGAATTTCAAAATAGAGAATTGTATAATACTGCCTTTGGATTTCAGAAATATGTAACATTGGCTTGTATGTGGTAAAGAAAAAACAAACTAGTATTGCTGATGTCAGCATTTACCATGATGGAGTTACTGATAGGGAAACCTGGGCAAAATGGAAGCCTGAGTTGAGAATTTTCTACATCAGAACCATAGATGGAATAGATGTGGTTGATGAGTTATGCAGCAACTGTGATGTCACTTGAAACACAAAGCATTGGTCTATGGCTGTGTTTTACTTGATCCTAAATATGTGTGGCATAAATAGTTTAATATCTTACAAAGGAAATAACAAGTGCAAAGCAGAGAAATTTTCTTAGAGGATTGGGACTGGCTCTTACAAGAAATCATTTACTATAGAGGAAAAACAAAATGCCTCTGCCCAGGGAACTAGGCCAAAAAATTGTGAAACACATTGGTGAGTGTGACAGACAGGCACAGCATCAAAAAACCTGCTGCAATAGGAAAACAGAAAAGTTTTCAACTGTGCCCTGCAAGAAAGTACAGGAAAACAAAACATAGGTGCTGTCAGTGTGAACAGTACTTGTGTATGGAACATGCAGTTGTCGTGTGTGAAGACCACTTTGGGTGTGACAGATGGTTGAAGCAAAGTTTATTTCTATGGTAGACTTTTATTTATATTTACATTGTAATTCACATAGGTTTTTATTTTTGATGTTATCTTTTAGGTTTTATAAGCAAGTAAACAGCTGATGTGAAAATGTTGATGTCTATCTAATCTAAGCACTTATTACATATTTGAAATTTTATTTTATTGACATCTTATTTCCTTGCTAAGTGCATGTTGTATAATACAGTAAGAGGCTCCTGACAAAACAGGAAAAGAGAGTCAAGGCTGCCACATAAAAAAGGAAAGCTAGGCACACATGCTGTCAGTGTAAGCGAGACATGTACATGAAATATGCAGTTGTGTGTGAAGACTGCCTTGGGTGTGACGGTTGATCAAAGCTTATTTTGTGGTAGACATCTATTGGTATTTTCATGTAGTTCACATGGGAATTTATTTCTGATGTTATCTTAAATTTCACAGCTGATGTGAAAATGCTGATGTCTATTTTAAATGCACAGTACATACTGACAATTTAATACTTCTTATTGATATTTTATGTTCCTTATAACTACACACTGTATAATACAATAAGAACCTCTTAACAGAACAGTAAGATCTGAGATGTCAACTGTGTCCTATAAAAAGGCTAAAAAGCAAAACATACATGCTATCATTGTAGTGTGTCTCATGTGCAGACTGCCTTGCGTGTGAAAATTGAAGTCAAGGTTTCTTCTTATAATGTGCTGTTGGTATTTCCATTGTGTTGTTCTTTTTTAAACTTTATGTACCAAAAAACTCCTTGAAAATTTTGATGCTTTTAAAAATAAACAATAAATATTAAAAATTCAATATTTTATTTTTTTGATTTTTTTCCTGTTAAATACTCCTTGTTTAATAAAACTCTAAAATTAAAAATTTATCAGATTCTAAAGAATAAATGTGGGTCTGGCATACTCATGGTTCTGTATCTTTAGGACAAGATTTGTGTTATCTCCTATTACAGTGTTGGTACTTCGTGATAAGTGAGTTTTGGGTTGCAGTTTGGGCGCTTGATCTCTAAGTGATTCACTATCACTGCTCTGGAGCGAGCAGTGAAATAAGTGGTTATTCTTAAGATGTCAGGTTGGGGCTGGGGGTTTAGCTCAGCGGTACAAGTGCCTGCCTGGTGCAAGAGTTCGATCTCCGCTACCAAAAAAAAAAAAAAAAAAAAAAAAAGTCAGATTATCTTGAATGTATGTGTCCAGGTAATAAATTGCTTGTAGATCACAATTAGGGCTGTGTTTTTCCCAATTCTTTTGTTTCAAGGGTCATTTGAAGGGCCCAGTATTAAGGTAATATCATGCATGATTTTAGAGTTGAGTGGAACGTAGGGGTAGGAATGGAAGGGAAGTACATTAGATTTTTAAGAAAGTGTAATTACAGTACTTAGCCCCATTTATATAAGTAACTAACTATTTAGACCAAGAATAGTTTTAGGAAAAGAAAATGCCTGACATCTGACTAATTTTCTGTATTTTTGTATTACTTAAATCTGAAGAATTTACAAAAAAGAGCCTAGAGTACAGAATTCTAACCTCCTACTACAGTTTTATTGTTGGAAAAGCAAATGCAGGTGGAGAGGAAATATGTTTTCAAATAAAAAAGTTCTGAGAAGTCTGGCACAAAGACAAGTGCAGTAGCCATGATTTTATTCGTGTGCAATCTAAAAACAGCATCTAGATACAAAGAGCAAATAATAGTTACAAGTGGGTGAAGAGAGGAAGAGGGAGAGATTACTTAATGGATACAGAGTCACAGCTAGATAGGCATAAGTTCTTGTGTTCTATTACAGAAGGTGATTGTATTCAATATTATGTGGTATGTTGTAAAGTAGCTAGAAGACATGATTTTCATCATCAAGAAATGATAAATGTTTGAGATGATAGACGACCTCTCCTGAGTTATTACACAATGTATAAATGTACTGAAATATCACAGTGTACCTCATAAAGATTTATAATTATTAGCTGTCAGTTAAATAGAAAACAGGAAAGTTCTGAATGTATTTATTTAGTAAAGAACTTGTTGAAGTCTTTATTAGAGGCAAGAATGACTCCAAAGTAAAATCTATGTTATTGCATAGATTTTGTACTATACCATAGTAACATTTTCAATCTTTGTTTTTGTTTAGCATTTAACAGAAGAAAAACCTGATGGTCTCATTAATGAAGCTACTAGGTATTCATATTTAAAGTTTGTATTGATTGTTGGCTACTTTGAAAGAGAAATTATTAATATGAAACTACAAAACAAATTGAGAAACACAAAAGAATAGTTAAGCAAATGTTTTTTCCATGCATTATTGGTATCTATTCATAAAGGTCAAATAACTTCTCATTTTATTTAAAATCATTTATATTGCAATGTGAAATCAATGCTGGACACAGAAGTTCTTTGATTGTGAGGAATTTGGAAAATATTAACATTTAAGATATTTTCTTATGCTCATACAGTTTTGGGGAGATTAATTATTTTTATAAAAAAGTTGTCTCACTGTCTTAAAAACCTCAATTATTCAAAATTGCCTTGTAGAGACTTAAGTTTCAGGGTAATCTGCTTCATGAATCATTAAAGAATCACATATTTTGTTGTTGGTTAGTTGGCCAGGGACATAGTTTAGCAGCACAGCGCCTGCTTGGCTAGCCCAGGGTCCTGAGTTTGATTTCTGGTATCCAAAAAAAAGAGTATAGTAATGAAGAAGATATTTGTGTGAGATCTGATACATCTTCTGAAGTGCAGTTTTTTCTTTTACAAAACTGTTTAGTATTTCATTCTAAGTGAAGTTGTTTTTTGTAGTTCTTTGAAAATTATGGTGCATATTATAAGAGATAGTTTAATAAATGGGCTATTCCTGTCATTAAATATTTTAATTTTCTTTATAACTAATGAGTTCAAGATCATGCTACTGATTGTAAACTTCTTGTAAACTCTGTATAGCTCTAGAATGCCAAGTAAGAGTACTTAAAACTTTTTCTTCTATTTTTTTTTGAGACAAGATCTCAACATGTAGTTTATGCTGGCCTTGAACTCACTATGTATAGTCCAGGCTGACCTTGAACTCACAGCCATCCTCCTGCCTCAGCCTCCAAGTGCTGAGATTATAGGTGAATACTTTTTTACTGTCATGCAAAATTTGAATTTGTGTAGTGGTGAATACAATTTACTTGTACTCTCTTAAGTAGATTAGAAGTAAGTGAATCATTGCTATAAAATGTTAGTAATTCTTAACTGATATTTTGATTTAAATGAATTGTTTCTACTTTTAATTTTTCAATATTTTACTTTTAACATCTGTTCTGTTTGCTATTTTAGGCAAGTTGCTTTAGCAGATATCATCCTCATCAATAAAACAGACTTGATTTCAGAAGAGGAGTTAAACAAACTAAGAGCAATCATTAGGTACGGTAGATAGCATCTGTATTACTATGTCTCTCAGAAAGCTGAATGATAGGATTTTGAATGTCTTCTCTGTAAAGTGATGAAAATGTTTGAGGAGATACATTTAATTTGATTTAAGCATTATATGTATATATGTTTAGAAACATCACATGACACTCCATTAATATATATAATTTTTGTTTCTTTATATCAATTAAACAAATTTAAATAAAAATTTTAAAGAAAACTATTAGGTACAAAATTGTGTCAGCTTTATTCAAAATTGCCTTGTAGAAACTTAAGTTTTAAGGGTAATCTGCTTCATGAATCATTAAAGAATCACGTATTTTGTTGTTGGTTAGTTGACTATTAAATGGAAATACATAAAATTATTCCCTGTTGCTTGCAGAATGTAGTTTAGAATTCATAGACTTTTTTCAGAATCCTTTGATTCCACCATTCTTTTCTCATTTTCTCTTTGACTCTTTCCTAACATTGAGCTCCCGAAGTTTAACTCAGATTTACTTTCCCACGAATATGTCTTGCCAAGTCCCTACTTTATTCATAATATTTTCTCATGTTGCCTGTTTCTGAATTCCTTCACCACTAGCCCATCCTTTGAGTAGCAGTTTTTTCTGTTTTCTAGAGCCAGTGATGACAAACCAGTGACACACGTGACACAGTGAGCTGTTCGTATCATTGAAAGCTCTAAGTTCACCGTCACTGCTTTAGAACCTGTTTTCTCTGTTCCTTCCTATTTTTTAATGAAGTCTTCCCAGACCCAGCTGGTCTTACTTTGCCCTGAACCTTTGTTGACTTTATCTTTCTGAGTCAGCCGTTCCCTTGCTTCCAGCTTGCTTTAATGTCCTCAGTGTATGTGGATAACGCTAGTCGACATAGACAGTATGAATGATAGTCAGCTGTGTGTTAAATGACCTAATAGTCATTTTGCTGACTGTTCTGGAGCCTGTTTTTTTAAACTAAAGATGGACATTTAAGATGATCTTAGAGTTTAGGGACTTTATTTTGAATTATTTGTGAGACCTAAGGTAGTAAATGCCACACACAAGGAGACAGATGTTCAGTAGATTTTATTATTGGTCATCTTTAATGGGTACAGTGCTTTGTGCATGGTGGCTCAAAAATACCATATTTATTATTTATAGCATCTGTTGGCATCAGAACCTATTGTGTTCATGCAGTGCAGTGATGGTGAACCTTTTGAAGCTTTCAGTGACAGCCTGTTGCAGCACTTGTCCTATAGGTTTGGCACCACTGATGTAGTGTATGTTGTGAATTGAATCAGTAAATGTAAGGTTCATTAAGAGATAGCTTGCAGTTTGCAGTTTGCTGGGGAAAGAAAGTCATAGTTTTTGTCTCTATTTGGTTTTATTTTAAGAGTAGTACCCTTAAAGTTTACTAGGAAGAAAATAATCTCTTTGTAAACATTTTTGGCATCAGAGTAGTGATTCCTATTAGCTGGCCTGTATATCTTCATGTTGACTAGGCTGGCTCTCCAGCACTGACAATACTGACTGTTAGTCATCTTGCGGACAGCCTGTACTTTGCAACACTTCTAGAAAAAAAAGAAGTACTTTGATAAATGACAGGTTCTTTGGGCTTTTTGTCATCCACTGTACATCAGACTTATAACTGACTTGCAATCAAAATTGAAAAGATAGAAGTTAAACATGTTTGGAAGGAAGGAAGTAGGTATAGAATATATTCAGAAGAGGAGATTAAGAATTTTGTAACACATTGGAAAGAAGCAGTAGAGAGACTTATCTCAGAATCACACTATGGGGGGAGCCTTACCCAGAAGAGCATGCTTGAACAAATAGCACCTATCTTGAGTACCTATCTTAAAGAAGGTAGATGATATAAATCCAAATAGATAAGAGGTTCACTGTGTTAAAAAGGAATTAACAGGTCCTTGTTGGTACCATACAGCAGGAACCAAATTCCATTACTGAGTGTGTGTATAGCTATTTCCAAACTATGTAAGTGGAGAAAATGAGTATCACTATTTGAAGAAACTCCTCATTGTAAGAATACTACACTTACTGGCTATTTGTGTATCATTTTTCTAAAGTGAAGGATCTTTTTATAAATCACAGAATCATCTTTGGTCCTGTTGTGCAGTAGGTTTTTGTGTACCGTGATTTCTTAATGTGTGAAACATACCAGATTTATGTTTGAAGGAAAAGAATAAGCCATAACAAAATGCAAATTTTGTTTTCTATTTTCATTTTTCTTCCTAGTTCCAACTGTGTTTATTTAATTGCAGTTTTAGAATTTTTTTTGGTACCTGAAATCAAACTCAGGACCTTTTGCTTGCCAGGCAGGTGTTGTGCTGCTGAGCTATATCCCTGGCCCTTAATTGCAGTTTTAGTAGTAATGTGATTTTATGTGCTTTCTAAAAAGTTAACATTTGGATTCTTACCTTTTCTTTCACTCTTTAAATTTCAGATCAATAAATGGACTGGGAAAAATTTTAGAAACACAAAGATCCAGGTACTTTTATAAAGCTATTACTAACAACAAATGGTTTTAGTTAATTAATTATAAATATTAAGTCATTGATAAATACACTTAATAATATTAGAAAAATATAGGTATATTTTTAAAAATGGAACCCCAAAATTTTGGAATGTTCTATATAAATTAGTTTGGCATATTGAGTTAATACCTTTGCCTTTTTTTTGTAACTAAGACTATAGAGCCATGATAGCATTGTATAACTGAGTTTTTGTTTAATTAAATTACATAAGAGTTCCAACCACTCAAGCAGGTAAATTAGTATACAAATCTGAGAAAGCTTGCTGAAGAGTCTTAATTTGAGCTATTTAAATGGCTTATTAATATTTTTGAAACTATCTTAATGTGTCATAGTTGCAAAAAGTTCTCATGTGAAAATACATGAAATTTTAATCCTTGTTCCAGTACATATCTTTGTTTTTTTTAATTTTTTTTTTTTTTTGTCTTTTTCATTTTTATCGGTACCAGGGATCGAACTCACGACTGCCTGCTTGCAAGGCAGGTGCTTATGCCGCTGAGCTAAATCCCCAGCCCCAGTACATATCTTTGTTAAATTTTGATTTCCATTTTCTTGCTTTTCTCTTTTGTTCTGTGTGTTCAGCAGTGTATTACTTTATAAAATAGATACGCTCTTGAAACACCTGTAAAATGTACTCCTGTAGGTTGAGCTATTTTCCTTTGAATGCTTTCATATTTCAGAAAATTTCTGTATGAGTGTACTTTATTAATCTCATTTTTTGGTGTGAAAGACTCAGCAATGGATAGACTGTACAAGTAGCAGCCAGCAGCTCTTAGGCTCACAGCTGGCTGCCTAGTGCCACCCAGTCCCTGGCTGAGAGATTCTTCCCTTAAAAGTGCAGCAGAGGCCTTGGCAGATTGGCTTGTCTGCTATGGCCGAGATTAGAGGTGCTGACAGACTACCATCAGTGTTAGTAACTGCAGCAGCTGCGTATAAGCATGTGAACAGCTGGGGAATTAATTTGGAATGCATTCTCAGGAGCCACTCATCTGCTTACAGAGGTAGCAGAAGAATACCCTTAGTGTAAGTCCTGTACACACGTTTACCAAATGTGCTCCTGCATTTCAAATTTCACTATATAGAAATCTGAGTATCTAACTCATAGTATGTTCTCTCTTGCATTTTTTGTATATTTTCTTTTTAATTTTTCTTTTCTTTATAAAGTGACATGCAGTCCATGTGCTTCAGTAAGCTTTTAAAAGTCATACCCATAAATAGCTGAGTCTGTAATAGCATTTATTCAGTTCTTGTTTATAATCACCTTAAATCAGTTTTCTTTTGTTTTCATTTTAGAAATAGCAGTATCCTGAGTACAGGTTTCATCTTGATTAGTTTATTGTGTAACAGTTTTACCGTTTCTATCACTTCTAACATTTGCTATATTACAGAATAGTAGAAGAGCAAATATTACAGAGTAGTAGCAGAGCAAATATTACAGAATAGTAATAGAGCAAATTTGTTGTTGTGTTTTCAAATGGGTTCATGAACAAGTGAATGAAAGTTTTTTTCCTAGTCTTCAGTGGTAGTATCTATCACTGAATCTGAGAATACAGGTGACTTTAAAATAGGCCTTCCTTGTTATGAGGACTAAAGTTGGGTTAGAATCCTTTTTGTGAAAACAGGATATTCATAGTACAATTCGTCTACTGGATTATAAATCTTACATTAAATATTTCCCAAAATCCTTTGAGGCATAGCAACTTGAGATTCACAGTTTAGAAACTAGAGATTTGGTTCTTACCAAAATTGTCAAAATCACTTTGATAGAAGTCTCATTTATTTTTAAAATTTTAACTCCTTTTCTATTTTGAGATTAACAAACACTGACAAAAGTATAACAATTATGAACATGTGTAGGAAAAGATTCTCTCTTTGGTGTAAGGGTTGAGGATATAGTTCAGTGGTAAAGTGCTTGCCTAGCATGTACCAACAAGTCCATGGGTCCAACCCCAGTGCCTAGAACAAATGGAGGGGAAGAGGGAGAGAAAGAGACGGAGCAAGGGAGGGAATGGTATGTAACACTGTCTTATCGGTGACTTGGTTGATTTATAGGCAAATACTATAGGAGTTTTAGGGAACTACATTGACTTCCGAAGTAGGAAGCTTAGAAGATAGGCCATTATCTTTTTTAAACTTTTTTTCATCTTTAAAGATTTAAATGAACTAAATAGAAGAAAACCAAAACACAGTAATAAGTTAATCCAAACACAATACTGAACATTTTACTGGCTACTAGGCAGTTCATGGCAGATTGAAGATTTAAACAATGGGTAAGGTAAAAATTATCTTTAGTGATTTGAGGCAATGAGAGAAGCAAACAAGCAAAAAAAAAAAAAACATTGTATATTACTAATACATCACAACAGGAATAGTAAATGCACAGGGCCCTATTAAAATAGGAAGATAGCTGGTGTGGTGGCACACACCTATAATTCCAGCATTTGGAAGACTGAAGCAACATTGTGACTCTGAAGCCAGCCTGGGAGATATATTGAGTTCAAGGCCAACCCTGAACTACTTAGTGAGATCCTATCTCAAAAAAAAAAAAAAAAAAAAAAGTAATAGAATAAGAAAATAAAGGAGTAACTACTCACTTGCTGGTGAAGGGTCAGGAAAATTTTGACTGGAAAGGTGATCATTGATCTGAGGTAGAGTAGGGATGACTGTGTATTTAGTAGGATTTCAGGATGGGAAAACTTGGTGTTCCAGGCTCCTGTAAATGTGTTTAAATGATTAGAACACTTGGCCTTATGTAACAGAGGGAAAAAAATGTATGACTGAGGAGACTGAAAACTCACCACAAAGAATATCGAATACCACAATATATAGTTTGGTTTTTCTTATGCAGGCATTGAGGAGTTCATGAGGCATTTTTGAAAGCAGTATGACCATTGGAAGACAGACTCAGTGTGGGGTTGTTCTCTGCAAGATTGGAGATACTAAGAAGGGAGGGCAGCTTGTGTGTGCTGGTGGGGGAAGTAGGGTTAGAAAAGGTGATCCCTGTAGTTCATTTTGTAAACAGGTTCAAGTTGTGGGTACCATTTGGAAATTTATTTCTAGAATTTAGGGCCGAGCATTTGGACAGTGTTTATAACTCACAGATCTGGGATTGACTGGTATACCCTGTAGAGAGACTTATAGGCGTTTGTAAAGATGACTGTTGGTATTCCTATAGTAGTAGCTGCAGTGGGTACTTCAGTAAGTAAAGAGAAAAGTGAACTGTTGAAGTTTCTTCTCTCCATTTTATTTTCCCACTTGGTTATTAACATGGTCCCACTGGTGGTATATACACAACCATTCTGTGCCATCTAATGGGACAGTCAAGGGTACACCACCAGTGGTTCAGTGAGACATGTGAATTATGGCTCCTTTGTGAATGTGTTAAATGATAGTAATGGCCTTTTGTTTTGTTACGATTTTTATTTCAGTGTTTTGGAAAAGAGGTGATTTTTAAAAAGTTTCTTAAGGAGGAAATGAAACATTCAATACCATGAAAATTAGTTTTTTAGTCATACTTTTTGAATGAGTGAGAAATTTCTTTTTCATGGTAACACTGTCATCTGGGGATGTTCATAAAAAGTTCCATCTGGAAGCTTTGACTTTTTTCCTCTCATTGCTCTCTATTGAGAATTTGGTGAGAGACTTGATATTTCATTTCCTATGGAGTGTGATCAGATTCATTACTGAACCTGTCTGAGAAATCACAGAAATTTGTATAAAGCAAAACTTACCACTAAATAATGAATATTCTCAAGGACGTTGTCACAGTGAGACAATAGTCTGTTTAGAAAGTTGCTTTTTAAAACTGACTTAAATTTTCACATAATTGCCATGTGCAAAGCTTATTAAAACTTTAAGCTGTTTTGTAAAGATGATAAACTTGAGAAACTTCATTCATTTTTAACTTGTTAATATAAATATGTGTTCAGCTGTGAAGTAGAAAAGTGAAATAATGTTTAATATTAAGACTTTGATCTTGGTGTAAATCGATACTCAAAAATGTTTTCATGGGACAGTTACTTCTTTGCTTGATTATTCTCCCAATTCAGCACATCTAGAATGTCCAGAATTTGAAATGTTACAGCCTATTAACATAAAACTTGAGTGTATTCTTATTTTCCTAAGTGGGAATTGATCTGTATGTGCCAAGCTACATACTCATAATGTAACAGAACATAGTTGCTGTAAGTGTGAGTGGATGGCAGGCTGCTGACAGTGAGCAAGCAGGCACAGCTGGGCAGTCCTAAGTTAAAGGGAGGTTTTCTCTTAAATGTGCGTGTGTGTTTTTAAAAAATCTTGAATCTGACAAATGAGCTTTTGTTTTGTCTGTGAACATTTAATAAATATTGGGCAAACATCTGGAGTATGATTTTGAAATTTAATTATACTTTGGTCATTTTTGTTAGTCTTCATTTTAGTTTTGATTATGGAGAAGTAGTTGTCTTTTGTTAGAATTGGAAATCAGTCACCTGCCTTTATAAGTTTGCTTTTATGTATCTAAACAAAATTAATACTTGTCATGATAGGTTGTTGTTACCTGGTTTGAATCACTAATTCAAAGTTTGTTAATGAATAATTCTAAGAGAAATAAATCTATTTCAGTAGAGCAGGAAACTTCATTCTCCTTACAACCCTATTGTGAATAAAAGAACTCACATGTATGTAGGTAGGGTACTAGAGTGAATTAATATTAATACGGTGGTTTTTTGATGCCTAGTGTTTCTTGTTGTGCTGTTGTTATTGGTGGTGGTAGTGCTAGGGATTGAACCCAGAGCCTTGTGACTCCTAAGTGTGTTCTATCAGTGGCTGTACCCTGCATCCCTGACTCCTTGCCTTTTGGGAAAAAGCTAAAAGAAATATAAAACTTGAAAGATATTTGGAATATAAATATGTTACTGTGTTATTTATGTGTGTTTTGTTTCTAAACTGCTGGTAAAGTTTTAGTTTTTAGCTAATTGGGGAGTGAGCAATAAAAATATAGTATTTGAAAGCTCGTAGATTAGACTTCAGGACTAAAAAGACAACTGAGCATAAAAAAAACAAAAAATACTATAGTTTGCTAAAACAGTAGCTTAATTTTTTCCTTATTCATTCAATTTTAAGAAAATATCTTACAGTATTTTTGTTTCTTGTCATTTTAGGCATTTTCCAAAATACTACATTTTGATGAATCTTTTTGCTTATGTTTTGATAAAATGTTTTTTTTCTTAGTTGGATGTGTTTCACAGAATTTTCAGCTGATCACATAAATTTTCTTTGTTTTAGAGTTGATCTCACTAACATATTAGATCTTCATGCCTTTGATAGTCTCTCTGGAATAAGGTATGTTTTTCAATATTTTGGTCATTTTTAGTGTAATGTACTTTTATTCCACAGCTATAGGAATGATTTACACAAGAATACCCTTGGTCTGAGCTTCCTGTCATTCAAGATCACCCTGAGGTACATACCAGAAAACTTTGTTGGTTGCTCGTGTGTACATCACAGTGCATTATTCCATAGGAATTATGGTGTAAATGGTAGTTAGAGATATATTAATAATATTTCTAAGCAAACCACTGTAATAGTCTGTTTAATAGAAAATGCATCAAATGCATAGGAAATTTTAGCTTGGGATGCACACACACAACTTACTTATGGATTAGTTTTCTACCTTTTCCTGGGGAAATCTTTTTGATAAGGGAAGGAAGTGAGATCGGTTATCTTGGACATCAGCATCTGTTTGTTTAATTATGGTGAAAACATGAGATCTACCCTCCTAACAAATTTTTGAGTGTGATACAGATCTCTGCAGCTTACTGTAGAGATCTGAATACTTTACTTACTGAATAACAGGTCTCTCTTTTTCCTCTGCTTGTATCCTGGCAACTGCTGTTCTACTGTTTTCTTCTATGGGCTTTACTAATGACCTGTTATGGGTGAATTTTGCAATATTTGTTCTTTGATGACTAGTTTATTTTACTTAGCGTGGTGTCCTAAAGGTTCATCTATGTTGCTGCAGATGACAGGATCTCCTTTCCCTTTTTAAAGGCTGAATGATATTCCTATAAATCTAAGTAGGACATTTGCTTTATCTATTCATTAGTTGATGGATACAGTATTTAAGTTGTTTCTACATTTTGACTATTGCAGATAATTCTTGCAGTGAGCATCTTTTTACGTCTCAATGTGTCTGCTTAAAATCATTAAAATAGACTCCTCTGTGGTATTTTAAGTTGGTAAGGCAGTTTACTTTCTAGATTTCCATGGTGAACGGTTCTATACTTATGACTCCTAATTCCTATGTGTGTGTATAAATTAACACAAATATATGTGCAATTCTAATTATCCATGCTTTTAAAAGTAATTTTTTAACTAGTTTTTCCCCTTCCATCTTTAGATTGTTCAGATTTAAAACATAATATGTAAAATAAACTGTCAAGATAGAGTAGGGTAGGGTAGTGTTTTACCGAACTTCTTTACTCTTATAAATAAGACAATTTAAATTCCCATTTAGTGTGTGAAAAAGTTGTTACTGTTTTCACATCTGTAAGTGTGCGATAGGCAGGATGATAATCTCCTTATTTTGCAACTTGATATTGTAGATATGAGACTAAAACTAGTCATTGTGAAAGTCAGATCTTCAGATGAGAGCTATTTATTTTACCTCTAAGAGTTGGGCTTTGCAAAGTAACCAAATAATAGGTTAAAATTACAAGGAGATTCCTAGGGCACTTCAACAAGATCCACATTTGTCTTTATAGTTCCAGTCGATAGGAAAGTAGAGCTATGTGATGTACTTGAATTATAGTTGATTTTTCTAATTTAAAAAGGTCCCTGTTGTTTATATGATCAAAGTGCCTAACTTGTTGCTTTATGGGAGAAATATATCATTTCTGAGCACTTCTCTATGAGGTTGCGAAATCTCTCTTTTGCACCCTGAAGCATTTTCTCTGATGTCAGCTTTTAAGTCCCGATTTCATATAAGCTTGATAATGATTGAATAATATGAAAAGCAATCACAATTACATTGGTTTTTTTTTTTTACACAGCTTTTGTATTTTTAATTTAGAAATGAAAACTTTATCCCATTAAAGGCAAATGATCTGAAGTATAGCCTTTGTCATTAAAAAACAGTCTTTTTTCCCTTTTTAGCACTGTCTTTACCAGGGAGCTAGTTTGCTGGTTCTGTCTCCTAATTCTTGATGCATGAGAGCCTTTGTCATGAGGTCCATTTCCACTTGAGTCCACCAGTCCAACCCATGCCAATCTTCTATCTGGCTGATCCTTTTTTCAAATCCAAGACTACAGTATGTTTCACTGGAGTAATCAGTGCTGCTTCTGTGGTTGGCGTGTTCCCTTTTCCTCACCCTTCACATCTGGGCTTAGAACTGTATTTCAACTGAGTCAGTGGGTTGTTTCGGTGTTTACAGACCCTGAACCATATTTAAATGTATTTACAAGGCTGGGAAATGAAATAATTACTGCCTTAAGTTTGTCTTTCTTTAACTAATTTTTCTCTGTTGGGTCTAAGAGCTTGCAAATTAATTGTCATTTAATATAAAACACTAAAATACTTCCTATTTGATGTCTTCATTTCTTCTTCCCTTCATGTATTTTACCTAGAAGAAATCGAAAACGTGGTAATTTCATCTTGCTGTGAAAAGAACTAAATGGGTTATATATAAAACTGTAAACTATTTTAGGTCTGCACTAAGATAAAAAGGGTTAATAAGGTAAAAGTCAATGTGCGAAATGGGTTTTCTGATTCATAGATTTTCTTTAGGTAACGTACATACTTTCTGTTGTTTTTAAGATAGAGAACAAATTAAGGTACAAAATTCTGAAATTTACCAGAAACTAAACATTTAGATCATAGTTACATTTTTACCTTTTGCATACATATGAAAGTGTACTTTGTCATTGTCCAATATTAAACGTTAGCCATGTGGAAAAAGTGTCTGATAGTTCAGTGGTTTTCTGATCTCATTCTTCACTTGATTAGGAGCAGTTATAATGCTTTAGTAACACTTACAGAAGTAAGTGTTTAATGTGATCCCACCACTATCCATAAGGCCTTTGTATAACTTTTCTTTCTGCTTAGCTGCAAAACAGGAGAATCTTTTCCTGAGCAACCAGCTGGGAAGGATTTAATATGACACTTTCCCTACTAAGACCCCCCAAAGAGACTTATTCTCTAGAACAGTTCTTATAACCCCCTTCTCTTTCCTAAACTTGCTGTTACTAATTTATGCCTCACTGTTCTTCAAGGCTGAACATCTGCAAGGTTTTAAGTCCTGCCCTCCCACCCCCACCAGTGTCTAAATGTCTCCTACAGTTATGATTGTAATTTGTTATGCTGTATTGATCTTTTGGCTCTTTTCATATCAAAACAATACATTCTTAAGATTTTGACTGTTTTGACTGTTGATCATAGAGAACATTTGTACTTATGGATAGTTTTTTTTTAATAACTAGATTTCAAGGGAAAACTTTAATAAAAGAAAATTTATCCTTGTAACTTTCTTTAGTTCTCAGTATTATTTTTATATTAAGAAGCACAGTGAAACTGAGAAACTTCAAGCAGCATTAAAATGATTATATATATTTTTATAAACCTGCATTGGGCTTAGTTGAATTACAAAGAATATACTGATACACAAAAGAATATTACTAAAACATTAGCTTTTCTTTTTATTGTGCTTCCATTATGAATATGTGTGCATTTTAAAGAAAAATTTAAAAGCTTAATCTGTCAAAAGATTTTCTCTTTGTGAACATATAAATATTGTTAGACTATTTCTCTACTAGAATATACAAAATTAAATATATATATTTGATTCAGTTTTGGAAAATCTCTTCCCTGTTGGGCTTTGTGTCTCTGAGTAATGTATAGGGTTAAATGTATTGGCATCATCACTAAACTCAATTGGTTGCTTTTAGTTTTCAGGAAAAACTGCAGCATGTGCCAACAGCACAACCTCATCTTGATCGGGTAAAAAAAGACTTACTATTTTTAAAATGTGTCTTTCATTAAGTTGGCTATATTTAGGACTATCTTATTTGATCTCTTTCTAAAATGGCATTTTTGAACCGTGTTGGTAGTTTCCAGAAATGTCGTGTTTTTGAGATCATGTAACCCAACTTCCTAACATATAATAGGAATTCATTAAAACATACATTTCCGAAGTGCTTAGAATTTTAGGAAATTGTGCTTACCATTTCTCCTGTAGTAACTGAACATATTTGAATGAGTCCTCGTGATGGGAATTTCTACTTAAAACCAGCCGGAGGGCTTTGCCTATAGTCTGTTTTTAACTGTATTGAAGTAACTAATTAAGTAAATGTCTAGCATAAGCGTGACTTATTTAAATAAAAATTAACTAGGTTTGACCTTCAGGTAGCAGAATAAAATTGAAACTCTGCTGGGTGGAAGAGCAGGTCTCTGATGCATAAGTTGTAGTGGTTGGTTGGTATTAGAATCTTTTATTTTTTTCTTTGCTACTGGAATCTTGATCTGTAATTTTGGATTTAAAATTTTGAAGCAAAGAGAAATTACAGTGGGTTGTGCTGCAGAGTAACATAAGTGGCATTGGACTTTGGAACTGGGAGCAAGCAGGAAGATCCAGTAGCATGGGATGGTGGCCTTCACCATGGTTACATGAGGATGGGAGACAGGGTGAAACAGCTGTTTCACAGTTAGACTTGCCTGAGCAACCTGCGCATAGCTGAGTTTGTTGATAATTGCCTCACATTATAAAGTCCAGCTTCAAACCTTTTCAGAAGTTCACTTGTATTTCTTTTATCTGACTATGAGTGTAGTATTTTCTGCTTTTCAGAACATTAGCAACACTGGAGACTGAGTAGCAATATATTTGTGGCTAAATTGATCTGTAATACTTTTAGCTACTCTCCAAGTTTGGATTTAGAAAGAATGCTGGTCTTTTTATATTTTCTGTATATATACATGTATATATGATACATATATATGATTTTCTAATGGTGAATAAAAATGTATGGCTAGATAAACAGTTCTAGGAAGTTTTGCAAAACTATGCTTTAGTGTTCTTTAATAATATGTATTTTAAGCCATTTTGAGCATGGCATGAGCATCTTATATAGGGTGGAATTTTTGTTTATGCTGGGCTTAGTCTGTATTTTTGTCATTAAATTTGACATTTTGGGTTGTATTTGGAAAGGGAGGTTTAAATTCTAATTATGGGACCTGTTAGAGGATATTTTAAGCTTCTAAATTTATATAGATAGTGAGAAATGTATTAAGATCAGAAAGAAAAATCTTAAAGTCTATATTCTATAAATGAGGTCAATGTTCTAAGTTAAAGGTGACATTATACTGTCATTCTTATTGCTCAGAACTCTTTTCCACTTGGTATATACTTGTTCAGTTAGAGATAAAAAGATTTTACTTATTTTTCAGATAAAGCAGAAAATTTTTCTCTAGTACTGGGAATTCTTCAGTACCCAAGGCTTCATGCATGTTTGGGAGGTGTTCCACCACTAGGCTACATCTACAGCCCTTTTTATTTTAATTTCTGAGACATGATGTCACTGAGTTCCTTTGGATGGTCTCAAACTTGCAGTCTTTCTGCCTCACCATCCTAGGTATCTGGGTTGCAGGTGTGCGCCACTGCACCAGGCTGCACGTCATTGAGTTTTAAGAAATACTCTTGTCTCTGCATGGTTTTTCAGTGCTTTATTTCTCCCACTGTATAGAATGAGAGTAGCTCTGTTTCCTCCCTGTTGTGAAGGGTGAGTGAACATGTGAAGTGAGGACACTGGCGCAGCACATTGTCAGGATGGTCCACTCCTTCTTACTGCTAGAATTCCACAGGAGAAGAGTTAAATAATGAGTCCCCTGCATGAGATGTTTTTATGTGAATACCACACTGGTGATGAGTTCTACAGAATATAGAAAATAGAGTTGCTAATTCCACAAATCGGCACATATAATGAGAAAAGTGGAATTGACAGAATTAATATATGTTATTAGACATGATATAAGATTTTGTATGTTCCTTAATTTTCACCTTAAAACTGGTTATATTTTTTAAAAAATATATTGATATTGCTATCAAAGATAATTATCTGTGTTGATTTACAGAGTATTGTTACAATCACATTCGAAGTACCAGGAAATGTAAAGGAAGAAAGTCTAAATGTATTTATTCAGGTGAATGTAATTTTTAACTGATTAATAATTTATCAACTGTTTGTTGTATAGTTGTTGCTGTTAGCAGTGGTTGATCTTATTAAAATATGTCACTTGATACAGAATCTCCTGTGGGAAAAGAATGTGAGAAACAAGGACGGTCACTGCATGGAGGTCATACGGCTAAAGGTGCAGTATGCAGCTTACCTTTGCAGGTTTCTGGGCAGGTCCTCCGTTTGGTTATTATGTAAAAACCATATTTGGATTTTTAGACAGAATCACTGGTTTTTGCACAAATAACCTTTGTCTACTTTTATTTCTGTCATTTACATTGCAAAAAAGGATCTTTTAAAATTACTGCAGGAAGCATTATTTATTTGTACAGCTTCAGTTAGTGTTGCAGCCAATAGTCTGTGGACTTTGAAAATGTTAGTCCCTGCCCTTGTACCCTGGGGTTCTAAGCAGGTAGGTGGGTAATGAGCTTGCTTCTGTTAAAGTTCTCTTCCTCTTGGCACACAGAGTGTGCTTTATAGCATCACTTAGGGCAGACGGCTTGTGTCTCTAAGACAGCTTCATTTAACAGGGAAATAATGTGAAAAATCCTGCTAGTGTTAAAACTCATGTGCTTCGTAGACACTGAACATTCTGTCATACACCAAAAAGTTATGGAGAACTAGAAGAATTCTTGTTCTGTGTCTGGAATCTTATTTATATTACTTGACACTTGGGTATATGTTATGAAAGTCATTTTCTCCCCCAGAAAGCAGTGTTTTTTTTTTTTTTTTTTAACTTTTTATCGGTACCCGGGATTGAACTCATGACTGCCTGCTTGCAAGGCAGGTGCTTATGCCACTGAGCTAAATCCTCAGCCCCAAGAAAGCAATGGTTTTAAGTGTAGCCATCAATCAGCAGTCATTAGAATAGCTATTCTTGTGATTTCCCAAATGTGTATAAAGTTCTTTTTTTTTAAAATTTTATTTAAGGAGAAAAAAGAAAAAAAAAAAAACAGAAAAAGGGTACAAGTTATACAGAATTTCAGAAAAAATAAACAGTAGGAAATCACTAGTTAATTACATATTGTCATCTTAGAAATAGTTGTTGAAGTTACAAAATTAAAGCATATAGAGGGGACTTTCAAACAGTGAGACTGCAAACAGTAATATGGTTATCTATCTTATACACTTAAATATATATGCAGTTATATCTTTTAGAGAACTTCCTTTTCCTTTCTTTTGTACAATGACAATTACACATTTTGGGTTTTATTACTCCCACAGTTCTTCTTCTTCTTATTATTTTTTTTTTTTTTGAAGAAAGTAAAACCAAATGTGACGTACCAGGACAGAGTCAGTCAAATCAAAAGGATGGACATAATACATAATGTAAAAACAAAATACAAGGTGATGAACAATGGTTACCATACTGCCTCTTGTTATCTTAAAAAGAATGTGCATAAAGTTCTTATTACTGTTAATAACTAGATTCTCTCTCCAGGTAGCACTGACATCCTGGGGTACTAGAATAATAGGTTGAGACTACTTAGATTTGGATTTCTTTATTCATTATGCTGGTTCTGCCTAGGATTAGCACTTCAGAACAGCATAGGTAATCCTAGTTTACTTCCATATTGCTCTCACACAAAGGCACTAAGCCTGATCCTGCTGCAGCTTTATGACTGCAACATCATCAACATTCCACGATTCTAACTGGCTGAGCATTTCTTCTGTAACTGCTTTCATCTGTTAGTATTGAATGTGGCATTGTTTCTTAGAAAAGTAGCAGTTTGGGCATTTATACTAAGCCAGTTCTGACACCTGTGCAGAATTTAGTGGCTTGTCTTTGTATCATTTCAGTCTGGATTTTGCACTTGTATGATCATTTCTTAATATTTGTCCTTTGATTTTTCCTTTAGCCTTCCTTCTATCAAAACAGGGATTCTGGGGCAAAACAGAATCCCTTCATAGCCTTTCTTCATTTTCCTGTTACAAAGTTTTAGTTGTAAACTCATCATCTTGTTTAAAGTATAAAATGACTGCAAAAGCTTCATAATTTTTATATAACTAACAAAAAATTGATACTTACATAAAATAAAAGGAATTTATTATAAAAGTTCAAACTTAAAAAGCAGAACATAAAACTAGAAGAAAAACAGAAAGGAAATACACCCAAAATACACAAATATGCCAAAAAATTTTGTGTTAGAAATGACTAGTTTGTGAACTTTATACAGACTATAATAATTTTTCTTCTATGTTACTATTGTCTAGACCATTTATTATAACACATTTTCAAATCTGATTAATCACCAGAATCCTTTGCTTCTCAAGTTTTCCCACTAACTCACATTAGGAATATCACATTAGGGTTAGGAATTATCACATGGGATTAGGAATATCACATTCTTGAGTGGATAATCAGCAGGCTATTGTACCATAACATTTTATTTTGTTGTTTCAGTTTTTGTTTTGTGAGCAGTGAAAGAATATTAGATTTTTTTTTTTTATCAGAAAAGGGAATTTTGCACTGTTTATGGGCTCCACAACAATGGACATTTCAAGAGCACTCCATCCACAGCTGCTTTCTTTGTCTCATAACCATGCCCACCAATGAGAATGCTAATTCACCAGCTGCCTGGCTGAACAGATTCAAGAACTAGGGAAATGATAGTACTGAAATGAGGCGGTGACAAACAGAAGTTCATGTGGAACTGAGGAAGGCTCAGAAGGATGAGCAGAGCCTGAAAAGGAGAAATGTAAGCTCATTTCCTGCTGATGCAGCTTCATCACTGCAGGAAAACTGTGGCAACAGGGTGCTATGAGTTGGACGGTTCATGGCACCATCAAAGATATAAATGGTTGCAGTGATCTTGAATGCTAGCTCCAGGCTACTCAGGCTGGGAGGCAGCTGCTTTCTGGGGAGAAACAGCCCCCATAGATCACATAATCCAGGCTGTTTTGATTCAAAATTTGTATCCTTGGGCAGAACCGACTGGAATACCATTCATTTTGAGTCTGCTTGGGCATTCGCTTAGATTGCTTCTGAGTCATCAGAGCAGACCAAGGATGTGGTGGATGGAGGTGCTATCTCAGCACTCATTTCTCTCTTGGCATCTCCCCACGCTCACATTAGTGAACAGGCTGTCTGGGCTCTAGGAAACATTGCAGGTGATGGTTCAGTTTTCTGAGACTTGGTTATCAAATATGGTGGAATTGACATATTCTTGGGTCTTTATGCAGTTTCAGATATGTCATCTTTAGCAGATGGTTACTTACATGATCTCACCTGGATGCTTCAAACCTTTGCTGTAACAAGAATCCTGCACCCCTGTTAGATGCTGTTGACCATGTTCTTCCTAGCTTGGTTCATCTTCTACGTTACAGTGATCTTGAAGTATTAGCAGATACCTGCTGGGCTGTGTCTTACCTTACTGATGGTCCAAATGAACGCATTGCAATGGTTGTAAAACTGGGAATTGTGTCCCATCGGGTGAAGCTTCTAGGATCAACAGAATTATCCATTCTGACTCCCACGCTAAGAGCCATAGGGAATAATGTCACTGGAAAAGATGAACAGCCTCAGATTGTAATGGATGCAGGAGCACTTGCTGTCTTTCCCAGCCTGCTCATTCACCCCAAAACTAATACTCAGAAGGAAGCTACATGGACATGTCAAACATCATAGCTGGCTGGCAGGACCAGATACAGCACATTGTAAATCATGTGTCAGTCCCGTTCCTTGTCAGTGTCCTCTCCAAGGCAGACTTTAAGACACAACAGAAAGCTGTTTGGGCCGTGACCAACTATACGGGTGATGGGACAGTTGACCAGATTGTATACCTTGTTCATTGTGTTGAACCTCTTAACTGCAAAAGATACAAAAATTATTCTTGTTCTAAGTATCTTTCAGGCTGCTGAGAAAATAGATGAAACTGAGTTTAGTGTAGTGATCAAAGAATCCAGAGGCTTGGACGAGATGGAATCTCTACAGGACCATGAAAATGAGTCTGTGTAAAAGGCCTCATTAAACTTGATTGAGAAGTATTTCCCAGTAAAGGAGGAAGAAGATCAAAACACTGAGCCAGAAACTATCTCTGAAGGCTACACTTTCTAAGTTCAGGACAGAGTCCTGGTGCCTTTAACCTCTAGGCATACAGCTGAGGAGGCATCAGTTTTTGTTGTGTACTGTGTTTGGTATAAGTTTGTCTCTTTCTCTACTAAGAACTCTTTTTTTTTTTTTTAAATGTGTTTGTCATTGCAGCCTTCTTACAACCAAACTGTACTTGAACAGTTTCTTTTTTTTTTTTTTTTTTGTCTTTTTCATTTTTATCGGTACCGGGGATTGAACTCACGACCGCCTGCTTGCAAGGCAGGTGCTTATGCCGCTGAGCTAAACCCCCAGCCCCAACAGTTTCAAACTGTACATAGTGTATGAAGCTTATCCTCTCAAGGAGTTTTTATTTCTGTGTGGAATTTTACATTTTGCAGTGTCCTATAAGCAAAGATTAAATTCCACCCTTTGCTTTACCAAAAAGAAAAAAGGGAATTAAAAAAAAAAATTACAGAGAATAAAACCAAGCAAAATAAAACAGAATAAAGCCATTCAAAACAAAGTAGTGTAAGTGACACCAGATTTCAAAACAATAGGAAATTAACAATGGTTACTATAATGCCTCTTGCTGTCTCCAAAATAGCTGCAGATACCTTCAGACATAGTAAAAATCAAACAAAGCAGAATGGAACAGAACCAATAAAAACAAAACAATGAATGCAATAAAGGACTTTGAAACAGGATAAATAGTAAATCCAAAATGGCTACCATAATATATCTTGCTATCTTTGAAATAGCTGCTCATGCCATCTGATAAAACAAAATCAAACAAAACAAAAGAGAATAAAACCCCCACCCAACAAAACAAGATGATACAGGACTTCAAAACAAGAAAATAGGAAATAAACAATGGCTACTGCCTTTAGAAGGAGATCCCCCTTAGATGCAACACTGTGTATTGTTATCCTCTGAGTAGATGATCAAGCTACCAGCTTTAGGCCTGCAAAGTCAGTGAAACGCTAAACACTACAAGCATTAAATTGTATTTTACCTCAATAGCCATCCTCACAGCCTGTGTTTCTCCAGATCTGCCGGTCTCAGCAAGGTGGGGGTAGAGTAAGGGTTGGCTCTTTTTGTTTCCCAGCCCACATGCTGGAAGGGGTTGGCATCTGGCTCGCCTTCCTGTGGCCCATGCATGGCACTGATTCTCAGGGAAAGCTTGCTTCTTGGTGACTTCTTGTGCTCTTCTCCTATAGTCCATGAATGGCATTGACTCATGGACAGAAAGGAATTTTCAAAAAGAATCGGTATACACAGAACTTTTTTTTTAAATAAGAGGTTTTTAAAAATGATTTTTCAATGCATCAATAATTAGAATTAAATAATTTTCACAATTTTAGTTTGTATTTTGAAAGAGAAATAGCAAAACGTAATCAACATTTATGAACTATTTCTGCTTTTAAGTTTATATTGAGGCTGATTATTTTTCTTTGAGCAGGGACTGGTGTCAATCACAGATAAACCACAGCAAGTGATTGTCCAAGGTGTCCATGAACTCTATGACCTGGAAGAGACTCCAGTGAGCTGGACTGATGATACTGAGAGAACAAATCGATTGGTATTTATTGGTAGGTGACAAACAATAAAATTTCTCAAGCTAAAAAAGATTTGCGAGGGATATAGTATGCTGCTTGAGCAGTGTTAATCAGATCCTCTTGTAATCGAGCTTATGGTTAATGTATTTCTCTTAATCGTGATAACTTCATGTGAACCTGTTATGCCTTTTACTGTTCACACAATTCTAGAAAAGTGATTATACTAAGCACCAGTTTGGTTTTGAAACTTAACTAGAAAGTTAGAGAGGCAATTACTCAGTTACTATTGTTTTTGTAAATTTCTGAAGATCACTAAGCATTTAAAAATCTGGAATTGATAAGTGAATTGTGTCATTCTAATAAGCATGATATAATCGATGTGTTTTGTTTGCAGGCAGGAATTTAGATAAGGACATCCTTAAGCAACTGTTTATAGCTACTGTAACAGAAACAGAAAAGCAGCAGACAGCACATTTCAAAGAAGATGTTATATGTCTATAACAGTGGAAGCATTTACCAAACAGATTGGGTAAAAAAGTTTGCTACTGGGGATATTTTAGTCATTATTCTTTGATGATTTCTTTTATGAACTTCAGTGTACTTAAAAATAGTATTTATTTTATACAATATGTAAAGCTTAGTAAATCAGTATTATAAAACATTGACATTCATAAAATAAAATATAACATCACCTGAAGTTTTTATTTTTTGGAGGGAGACAAGTGATTCACAAAGCTTTCTTTCTGAATTCATATTGAAGTTTATACATGAACTTTTCACCCATTATTTGTAATAATGATACTAGGCTTCCACATTTTCATTTTCTTGTAGAACTTCAGCTGATTTCAAAGATACGTTTTATCAAAAAAGTTTATTATTTTTTAAATTTTAAAACAAAAAATAAAAACGATGGTACAGAATTTCAAAATAAAATAATAGGAGATTAACATTGCTTACATATTCAGTATTGTTATCTTCAAAGTTGTTGTTCATATTACAAAATATAAGCATAAAATGTTCAAACAGACAATGAAAGCACAAATTGTTCCTTTTGATGAACTAACAGATCAGTAGAATAATTACAAGCTGAAAAGTTTTTTATACTAGGGAGACTACAATTAGAGTGTGATTTATTTCACTTATGAGTATGGTGTCAGGTTACTCCATTTACCTGTAAAAGCCTCAAGGTTATCCTTTTTTATAGCTGAGTAATACTCATTGTATAAAAATACCACATCTTATTTAATCCATTCTGTAGTAGATGGGCATTTAGAATGTTTCCAAAATTTATCTATTACAAATTGCGCTGCTATAAACATGGGTACACATGTATTGCTGTGGTATGATGTTTTCAGTTCTTGGAAAATATCTAGAACGAGAATAGCTAGATTGAATGGGACCTCCAATCCTAGTTTTTAAAGAAATCTCCACACTGATTTCCACAGTGATTGTACCCAGTCTACACTTCCCAACAGTGGAGAAGGGTTCCTTTTTCCCCACAGCCTCACCAGCATTTGTTACTGGTTGATTCTTGATGATAGCTATTTTTTCTGGAGTGAGGTGGAGTCTCAGCCTTGTTTTAATTTGCATTTCTTTAAAGACTAATGACACTGAACTTTCATATATTTGCCATTTGTGTTTCTTTATTTAAGAAGTGCATATTCATCTCAGATGCCCATTTTTGGATTGGGTCTTTTTGAATTGGGGGGGAGGGTCTGATATTTTTCAGTTCTTTTGTATGTTCTAGATAATAAGTCTTTCGTCTGAGGGACAGTTAGCTAAATTTTTTTCCTATTCTGTGCGTTTTCTTTTTAACTCTGTTAGTGATTTCTTTTTTTAAAATTTTATTTAAAGAGTAAAAAAAGCAAAATAGATAAAAGTAGAAATAATACAGAATTTCAAAAAAACTAAGAAGTCACTAGTTGATAAATTACATATTGTCATCTTACAAATAGTTGTTCAAGTTACAAAATGAAAGCATACAAAGTGGATATTCAAACAGTGAGACTACAAACTGTTCTGCTCAACAATCCAACAAAAACTTAGTAATATGGTTATCTGTCTTACACACTTAAAGATACATGCAGTTATATCCTTTAGAGCACTTTCTTTTCTTCTTTTTTATAATAGCAATTACACATTTTGGGTTTTATTACTCCTACAGTTCTTATTACTTTTTACACTAAAGACACAATGTGATATTTATAAATATGATTCTTATTTGTTTCACTTATGGAAATAGTCTCAAGTTGCCTCTATTTACCTATGAAGGCCTCCAGGTCATCTTTTTATAGCTGAGTGATATTCCTTTGCATAAAAATACCAGATCTTTTTCATCCACTCTGCAGTTGATGGGCATTTCGGTTGTTTCCAAGATTTAGCTATTACAAATTGTGCTGCTATGAACATGGGTACACATATATCCCTGTGACATGACCTTTTCAGTTTTTCTGGGAAAATACCCAGGAGGGGAATAGCTGGATTGAATGAAACTTCCGATCCTAGTCTTCTGAAAAATCTCCATAGTGATTTCCATAGTAGTTGCACCAGTCTACACTCCCACCAATAGTGAAGCAGCATTTCTTTTTCCCCGCAGCCTTGCCAACATTTTTAATCAGTTGATATCTTGATGGCAGTATTCTTTCCAGAGTGAGATGAAATCTCTCTTTTTTTAAAAAAAATTTTATTTAAGGAGAAAAAAAAAGCAGAGAAAGGGTACAAGTTACACAGATTTACAGAAAAAATAAACAGTAGGAAATCGCTAGTTAATGGATTACATATTGTCATCTTAGAAATAATTGTTCAAGTCACAAAATTAAAGCTTGTAAAGTGGACATTCCAACAGTGAGACTGCAAACACTTCTGTTCAATGATCCAACAAAACTCAGTGATATCATTATCTGTCTTATACACTTATATATACATGCAGTTATATCATTTAGAGCACTTTCTTTTCCTCTCTTTCGTACAATGACAATTACCCATTTTGGGTTTTGTTGCTCCCACAGTTCTTATTACTTTTTTGGAAGGGAGTAGAACCAAATGTGACATAACAGAACAGAGTCAATCAAATCAAAAGGGTGGACATAATAGATAATGTAAAAGCATAATACAAGGTGATCAACAATGGTTACCATAATGCCTCCTGCTATCTCTAATAGAATTGCCTATATCATCAGTTATAATAAATTGAACAAAACAGTAAAGGACAAAACCAAAACATTGGAGACATTATAGGTCTTCAAAAGTAGATAATAGTCAACGAGAATGGGCATTATAATGAATCTCACTATCTTCACAGCTGTTGGCTTAAACTTTCGAACCTGGTACTATCAAGCAAAACAGAATAGGGGGACATCAGTCAAAAATAAGATGGTGAGAGTAATACAGGGCTTTAAATCAAGATAATGGAAAGTCAAAGTGGGTTACTATAATATATCCTGCTATTTTTTATTTATTTTTCCCTTAATTAAAAGGATAAAAATAAAAAAGTAAATAATGAAGTGAAGATTGAGATAAAAGAGGGCATAACAGCAAAACAGCGCAGATCAAAACATAACCATTTAAGCAGAATAGTGTTTCACCACAAGATAATCCTGACATAAAAGTAGTTACCATATTGTCTCTTTCCTTGAAATCTTCGAGTATAACTTCGTATACTGTAGCATCAAATATATCAAAACAATGTAAAACCATTTAAGAGAATGACAGCATTACAGGGTATTTAGAATCAACCAACAGAAAATGAACAATGGTTTCTGTATAATCTCCTTGTCTTTAAAAGTTTTTGCTTATGCTATCATACATAATAAAATCCAATAAGGTACAACCTGTTTAGACCAATGGAGACAGAAGAACAAAAGCTTGATGAGACTTCAAAACAAGATGATACTAAATCAGTATTACCTATTAAGATGTCATTTTCTCCAAAATAGCTGTTCCTATCATCCAATCTTCTCTGCCTCATTTCTGTTGAGCTCTTTTTCTGTCATTAGTTGTCAGTTTGTCTTCTTCATTTTGTTTTCTGCTCCATTCATTGTGGCCTCTCTGCCACTATTTCTGGATTCCTTGTATTTTTCTTTTTTAGAATATCCTGTAGTATTCTCTGTAGAGTTGAATTGGTGGTTGCATATTCCCCTCGTTCCTCTTTATCCTGGAAGCACCTTGTTTTTCCATCAATTTCCAGGGATAGTTGTGCAGGATATATCAATCTTGGCTGGAGATTGTTATCTTTCAAAGCTTGAATTATTTCCCCCCACACTCTTCGTGATTTGATGGTTTGTGCAGAGAAATCTCCTGTAATCCTGATGGGTGTAAGTGGTCTGTTTCTTGTCTCTGACAGCTTTTAATATTCTGATCTTGTATTGAATTTCTGGAATTTTTATTATATGCCTGGGTGTTGCTCTGTTTGGGTTGTAGGTGGCTGGGGTCCTGTAGGCCTCAGACATCTGAGTATCTTTACCTTTTGCTAAATTAGGAAAATTCTCCTGGATTATTTCTGTGAGTAGCTTTTGTAGTTCATTTGTTTGTGTCCCTACTTCTTTTATGTTCTTAATTCTTAAGTTATGGATCCTCTTATCATCTTCTAGTCTTTGTATTATTGCTGTTTGTTTCTTTGTTACTTTTAAGAAGTTTTTCATTTCATTCTCCCATATTACAAATCTGCCCTCCAGTTCAGATAGTCTGTCCTTAGTTTCTTTCAAGCTGTTATGCCAGTTTTCGATAGAGTTTTTAGTTTCCTGGTAGTCTCTTTGAACCTGCTTCATGTATTCTATGCTTTCTCTATTTTCTCCATCAAACAATTCTCCCCTCTTTCTGATCTTCCATTCCACCATCTGTTTTTTCTTGGGTGGTGCTTAGCATTTCTCTAACTATTCTGCTTATTTCTAGCTTCAGGTCATTAATAACTTCATTCCTGAGCTGATCTATGAGGCTCTTTAGATGGTGCTTTATGTCTATTGGTGCGGTGACCGCTATTGCCTGTTTCTCAGGATTGGGGGCCGAAGGGCCTTTCTTGTTGCTCCCTCTTCCCATATTCTTTGTTCCTTATATATGCAAGCGTATATAGGAGGCCCAGCTTCCTTTCCTGTCAGCCACAGTCTGATTGAATTGCGCAGGCTAGGTGTTCCCGCCCACCGCAGCACACCAGGAAGTTGCAGATTAGGCAGCCTATGTGGGGCCCACCCCTCCAGGTCACCCTCAGGCTCTGGGATCTGGGTTGTGCTAGCCCACTGGGTCTCAGCCAGCAGCGTCACGTAGGCTAGGCACTTCTCACCAATCCTGCTTGAGAGGAGGATACGTGGCTGAAGTCGCCGCAGCACCCTGCCCCCGCAAGTCTGCCCAGTCCCAGAATGTCCTCTGTTGGAGTCTCCCAAACCGTGGGAAGAGTGTCAGTTTCTCTCACTCACCTCACCGCAAGTCAATGCACAGCTCCCCGCCCGTCCTATTTTCAACTCCGTTCGCCGATTCCCGTTCTCAGAGCTTCTGCACATCTCTCTCCCTGCCAAGCCAATGTAGACACAGCCGCCGCGCGGCGGGAAACCCAAATCGCGGCTTCCAATGCCGCGGGCTCCAGCTTCCACACTGAGGCTTTTCTGTTCCTGTTATAGCACCAGGATTGCACTCCAAGTTGGTTTTTCTCAGCCCAGTCCGTTCTTGGGTCAGCAGGGCATATCTCCACCTGCTCACGACTCCTTACTCCGCACCATTCCTAAATTCCAAGCTGGTTCTTTCAGAGAGCCTCCATACCTGCTGCTATCTGTCTGCCATGTTCTCCCGGAAGTCCCCTGAGATGAAATCTCAATGCTGTTTTAATTTCATTTCTCAAATGACCAGTGATGGTGGACATTTCATGTATTTATTTGCCATTTGTATATCTTCATCTGAGAAATGTGTATTCATCTCAGATGCCCATTTTTGGAGAGAGTCTTTGAATTTGGAGAACTTGATGTTTTTCAGTTCTTTGTATGTTCTGGATATAAGTCCTTTATATGAAGGATTGCTGGCTATAATTCTTTCCCATTCTGTGGGTTTTCTTTTCTACAAAAACTTTAATCAGATGAAATCCCAGTTGTTGACTCTTTGAAGTACTCTTCCTGTGCAGTTTGCATTTTGTTCATGAACTCTGCCTATGTCTTCAAGATTTTTATCTAGGTTGTCTTCCAATATATTTAATATTTGTTTTAATATTTAGATCTTTTAACAAAAATTTTTAAAGCAAATAACTATCACTTTATATTAAATAAAATAATTAAACTATCACTTTATATTAAATAAAATAAATCTTTAGTTCCTAGAGACTTAATGGGAGAAATAAAATTATCTCTATTTTTTAATAGTACCAAGCATTAGTGTTAGTATGATGAAACTTCAGCCATTTATTTCGTAATACATTTAGATTCTTTCTTTTTTTCTTCATTTATTTATTTATTTTTGTTATCGGGGATTGAACTTACAACCTCCTGCTTACCAAGCAGGTGCTCATGCCACTGAGCTAAACCCCCGGCCCCTGGGTTCTTAATTTAGAACTTGTATTTTAAATCAGTTCTATTGATGTTAAAGTCATCTTGGTTATTGTGAATTTCTTTAGTTTACACTATAAGATTTAAAAAGTGATTAGGCGTAAGCCATCGCATTTGTAAGTAAACTTTTTATATAGTGCTCTTTACATAAATCATTGGTAAGTAGTGAACAAATTTTCTCCTATTCTTAAAGGCCATATCAGCATAATTATATAGTACTTAAATTGTTAGAGAAAAGTACAGGTGGGGTTTGTATGAAGAACATTCCGAGACTAATCGTTGTTAAATATTGTAGAAGGCTATCAAGACCAGGCAGGTGTGAATACCAGCAATCCCACCTGCTCAGGAGGTGCAGGCAAGAGGATTACAAGTTTGAGGCCAGAGTAGGCAACTTAGCAAGATCTGTCTCAAAATAAACATGGTAGTGGTCGGAGCTATCAAAATGACTTTTGGAATTTTCCTTCCAGAATTTTAAATAATGGAGTTTTACAAAACTGTTTTGTTGCAAGCAGAAGGCCAATTGCTTGGTTATTAAAATATAAATATCGTAATGTCTGCATAGAAATTCAGAGTACAGTATAGAAGGCAGTCATTTTTTAAAAAAAGTTATAGGGACCTGGGCGTTTACCTCAGTAGAATGCTAGAGTAGAAGTAGCACACACAGATAAAGGACCGGTAATCACATTGCTTGCGGGCTGGGGAAGGCACTCGTGAGAAAATTGCAAGTAACCTCAAAGCAGACTGAGCAATAAAGATGGCCCAGGCTGAGTGCTCAGAGAAGACACCTGAGGAAAGGTGGCATTTGAAAGCCGAATTAGAAGGATCCATTGGGCCTGCACTGGGGAGGCTGAGGCAGAAAGATCCAGTGTTTGAGGCCTGGCTGAGCTACACAGTGAGTCCTGTCTCAGTGACGCCCCTCCACCCCCAGCTCATTCATACAGAGCAGGCAAGGAGGCTCGGTGCAGAGGAACTAAGGCCCGTGGAGGCCCTTGGGTAAGGACCAGCATAGCTACTGGGAGATGGGGACGAAGATAGGGTGGCAGAAAGCGGCAAGTGAGAGCATGGATGAAGTGAGAGTTGTAGGTGGAGGCCAGTTTTGTTGCTTCTTGTAAGGCAAGAGTGAACATTTGGATAATCCTGGTTTGGATAATTGGGGAGTGATGGAAGCTTGGCAGTGATTTGCGTGGGACTACAGTGGCATATAAGCCCGTCTCTGGTACTGAGATTATGGGAGGGGCTGCCACTGTCAGCACCTTTCACACTCTAGGTAGGAATGTTTCTCTGGAATTGATCTGCAAGAAACATGCACATTTAAATGTTTAATACATACTAGTTACCCTTTGCCTTCATTTAGCACTGAATGAAGTTATCCATTTCCAAAACAACACATTTTAACTTTTGTCAGTGTAAATGGCTGATATCTGTCTTATTTGGGAGGCTGAGGCAGGAGCATCACCGTGAGTTTGAGGCCAGCCTGAGCTACATAGTAAGGCCTTACCTTTAAAAAAGAGTCTTGGAAGCTGGCGGTGTAGCTTAGTAGGAGGGTGCTTGAGTAGATCAAGCCAGGTCTTAGTTTCAGTCTTCAGTACTGAGGGGAAAAAGTCTTGGTCCTCGAGGGGTGGCCCTGGGTTCAGTTCTCTCAGACAAATAAATAAAATTTAAAGTTTTCTTATGGAATTGTGGCCAGAGATTGAGGATAAACAGAAATATGTTTTTCCTAGAGGCTTTAATCTCTCAATAGTGAATTTTGCAGGTGAGGCTTATAAAGCAATGAGGATCAATATTTTGTAACATGTGCCTGTATGTTGCTATAAATTGAGTACTTGTTTCCTGTGGATTCCTGGTGTAGATGGGAAAACCACCTTTAACCACCTTTAGATTATTTGAAATGACTCCCTCTTACAGACATGCCTTATACTGATGGACTGATATGGAAAATGAACACCACCTTGGAATATTGGACATGTGACCTTATTTGGATGAGAAATACACACTAAAGTGTTTGTCTCAGAAGGAGTCTTTTGTTTGTTTTTTGTTTTTGTTTTTGAGACAGTCTCACTGGCCTTAAGCTTCCTAGGTTGCCCAGGTTGGCTTTCAGTTTACAGCAATCTGATCTCCCTACCTCAGCGTCTGCAGTGCTGGGATGACAGGTGTGTGCCACCATGCCTGTCTATAATGCCTGTCTATACTATATTTTATTCCTGTTGATAATCAAATTATCTATAATTTTTAGGGTATAGAAAAACCGTTATCCTTCCTGAAGTTTAAGGTAGAAAGGTTTGATTTTCAAACTAGCATATTTGTTCTGAGAAAACAAAATTATTCAATTTTAGGAAAAAAGTAATAAAATACTATTGAGTCCCTAGCGTGTACCAGGCCCCGTGTTAAGTGTTGCAGGAGCTACAAGGTAAGACCTGATTCTTAACTCTGGAATTGATGGATTATGGTAATAAGAGTTCCTTATGTTTCCCTTTTCTTGTGTAGAATACAGTGCCATCCTAATTTTCCCAAAGCATTCAAGTAAGTTTTCATTACTTCAACTCTGTTTTAATATTTGACATATTTGGCATGACATAATTGATACAATTGATAAACCATAAAGTTGGAACATGTAGAGTAATACAGTTCATTTTGTTTAGTATTCCACAGAGTTAAATAACTGTTACCAGTATCTAATTCCAGAACATTTTCACAAAGAAACCCTGTGTCCATTTCTCCTTACGCCCTTCTCCAGAAAGCCACCAATCATTTTCCCTGCCTGTTTAGACCCTTAGGTAGCTTGCTGTTGCTGGGATGCACATATCTTAAAAGAGGAAAGATCTGTTTTGGCTCCTAGTGTCAGAGGTTCAGTTCATGGTTGGCCAGCTCCCAGGCAGAAATGTCATGGTGGAGGAGTGTGGCAGGGGAAAGCTCATGGCAGCCAGGAAACAGAATGAGAGAGGATGAGGGGAAGGGCCAAGAAAACACCCCTCTAGGTTATACCTGAACAAACCTGCTCGCTATAACCAGGCCCCACCTCCTAAGAGCACATTTGGCCATGAGCTCATCTGTGAGTTCATCCATGGTTGAAGTCAGCAGCCCTATGATCTGATCACCTTCCAAGTGTCTCACTTTGGAGCCCAAAGTCTCGAGAGACATTTTAAACCTTTAGAGCCTGCTACACTCTTCCCTTGACACGCCTTCAAGGTTCATCCACACAGTAGCATCAGTACTCTGTGCTTACTGCTGAAGAGCATTCTGCATGGATTTATCACATTTTAGTTTCCCACCTATCAGCTGTCTTGAATCTCCACTTCCTGGCTCCTAGATTCTTTTCCCTGTTTGTCTGTTTTAATTTTTAAAAAAAGTTTTTGGCATGTAGAAAAGTTGAGTAGCTAAGTTTCTTCACCACCTTCTGCCCCAACTATTAACATGGATGTCTGCAGCTAGTGAACCAGCACTGATACATTCTTACCAAGTCCAGTTTGTTTTCTATGCTTAGTTTTTACCTACTATCCTATGAGAATTCCATCTAAGGTAGCACTTTAAAGTTAGTATTCGTGTCTCATGACACTTTGACTGACAGGTTGCTTATTTTGCTGATCTTTGATGGTAGTTTGGAGGAATGACAGGTACTTAAAATGTTCTTTTATTGGAATTTGCTCCTTGTTTTTATCTTGATTAGTGTAAGACTTGGAGAGGATGGAGAGGAAGACCAGCGTACCATTTTCACCTGGTCATAACAAGGGTGCCTGCTGCCAACATGATTTGTAACTACTGATGTTGGCCATTGAAAGCTTTCTGCCCTAGTATAAATTACTGGACATTATGGCGGTGGGTCTAATGTGGAAAGCCAAAGCAAAACCCTGAGGACACTTCCTCCTTCCCCTTCAGCCCTGATTACAACTTCCTGTTTCCTTTTCCATGCATGCAAAGAGACTTCCAATCAGTTCTTCCTGTCATCAGTGGCTGCCCTTCACAGTCAGAGATCATAAAACCTCCCGCCATATTTGTCTCTGGCAGAGAAGAAAGCCCAAACCCACGAATGGTGCACTGTCCACATCCTCAATAAATGCCACTTTTTCTTTCCTTTTGCTTCTCTATTGCACCAGGAAACCTTAACAGCCTTGCTTACCTGGCTGAGGTAGGAAAGAGTCACCCTGTCTCCATTCTGTACTCTTTAGAGGGGAGAGCATTGTGCTTCCCCACTGAATAGCAGGTCCCGGGGCACAGCAGTTGCATTCTTTATTTAGGATTCTGCAAGAGACCCCCCTTCATGAATTTACTCATTTGTTTTTATCAGTGTGGACACATCTGTGTTGTATTTTGGATATTAATCCAACACTTTTGTTGAAAGTGTCCCAGCTATGACTTTAAGGAATGCTTCAGTTTTTTTCCTGCAACCCCTTGGACATCCATCAGTGTGGGTTTTTGTTCAGATTTGGGTCACGTCTTTACATTCTTCCTTTTGTAAATAACACAAATCACCATGGAAGTTGATTTTAGGGAAACTAACACTATTCTCTTCCCTTCCTCGGTGACGGTGGTGGGATTCCTTTGTTGATAGAAAGAACTGTGCCTCTCCAGCAAGGGTTAAGGGAAGGCACCAGGGAGTTACCAGGTTAAATAAGACACCTGACCCAGGCCTCCTGCAGTTAAGAGAGCACACAAAGTCTTTGGTAAGTTTGGGATTCAAACACAAATCTGATAGGCTCAAACTTTGTGTTTCTTTCTCTTCAAACAGCATATAATTAGCCTTAGAGAAAGGATAAAGATGAACAAAAGACTTTCAAGTCTAACTGAAATTCATTGTCATTAAACACTAATGGAAGATTGACTAGGTGACAATGGCTTAACTGTTGTTCTTTTATGGTACATTTTTATTAGAGGCCATCTCAAAATTTTTTCCCCAAGTTGGTAGGTTTTAAATTATGAATATGTACCACAGCTAGTATTTTACCATACGGTTCCTGTTTATATAACATTGTGTTCTACTTTAGTGGTGCCATTAAGGATTTTGAACTAATTCACATGAAGCCAGTAAGGAAGCCCTGTTACTTGCAGGGATTTTGGGTTAGTGAACAGAGCTGTTATCCTCTTACTGCTGTGCAGTATAGATATTAAACACCAAGCCACCGATACATCTAATGACACTGCAACCCAGGCTTTCTTAATTGAAGTTTCAGGTTTTATTTTTATCACACTAAAAGTGTTTAAAGTTTCTGAAGTGACAGATTGGAAGAAAGAGAGAGAGAGAGAGAAAGAAAGGCAGGCATGTGCTCAGACACTAGGCACAGCCTTTGGTGTTGTGGGGCCAGACTCCGAAAACAGGATTTCTATGATGAAACCAACTAAGTGGTCAGGACCGTTGAGAGAAAGGAGGAGATACCAGCGATCGCGATGGTGTAAGTATATAGATTTGTGGAACTTGTTCTAAGCACATACACCTGTGTGTGCAAGAGAAGTATTCCTTACTGCGCGGAGTATTGACAGAAGTGGGAGAATCACTCCTGTCAAGGAGACTCCTTAGCCTTCCTGCCCTCACCCTGAACTTCCACAACATAATGCTAGGCTTTTCTGAAAATCTGAGTCAGGAACAACACTTAGTGGCATTTGTGTGTTGGGCAATAAGTACAATAGGACTCATTTTGGGCTGTGTCACATACTTAGAACATTAAAATAGCTCATTCCACTGTTTTGTATGAGAACAAAATTCATCAATCAAAACGGGAGATTAATCAACGTGTAAAACATGGAAACATCCGTGTTTACTCTTCAACTTTCTTTTTCAAACATCGAATATATGTGGAATTCTGTCCTCGGAAAAGCCGAGGTGGCCATGGTTGGGAATCCTATTTTCCTGACTTGTCTCTGCACAGTTTTAAAGATGCAGTAACTGCCCAGGCCAAGCTGGGACCTGTAGGCTGGTCAAACCCTGAGAGCGAGCATCTTCCTGGTGACGGGTGGGAGAGGAGGAGGGGGTGCTGGCAGCGGACCCTCATCATTGGACTGCGTCAGGAGGACGTGACCCCGCTTGAGGTAGGGTTAGAAGCATATAAAGCAGGGGAGTGCAGCACACAGTGTCTCCGAGCAGCTTTAATAAAAGGCCAAGTGTGTCCTTGCCGGCGGTTTGGAAACAAGGAGAAACAGAAAACAAAACCTAACAGGTGATCCTAGCTCTAGGGCGCCCAGCGCGCGCCGCGCCTGCCCGGCGTCCGGCACTTGCTCTTCCATGAGCTGTCCAAGATCTGCGAGCCCGCGCTCCGCGCCGCGGCCCGGCCTACGAAGCTCGGACAGAGAAGTCGGCGAGATCGACGTCCTGGGAGAGGAAGGAGATGAAGATGAGCAGCCGGAGGTGGAGGAGGAGGAGTTTGAAAGGGGGCAGAAGTGCCTAGAGCAACCGCGCCGGCCAGGGACGCGCACAGAGGGCGGCAGCTGCCCGAGCGACTCCTCGGGGTTTGGCCGCGAGTTCAAGGCCCCGGCGAGGTGTGCGGCGGCCTCTGGAGACGCCCCGCAGCCGGCGAAGCCCCCCTACTCGTACATCGCCCTCATCACCATGGCCATCCTGCAGAGCCCGCACAAACGCCTCACACTCAGCGGCATCTGCGCCTTCATCAGCGGCCGCTTCCCCTACTACCGCCGCAAGTTCCCCGCCTGGCAGAACAGCATACGCCACAACCTCTCGCTCAACGACTGCTTCGTCAAGATCCCCCGCGAGCCGGGCCACCCCGGCAAGGGCAACTACTGGAGCCTGGACCCCGCCTCCCAGGACATGTTCGACAACGGCAGCTTCCTCCGGCGCAGGAAGCGCTTCAAGCGCCACCACCCGTACCCGGGAGGCCACCTGCACCACCCCTTCCCCTCGCACAGCGCCCACTTAGGCCTCGAGCTGGGGACCGCGGCCCCGCCACAGCCTGTGCTCGGGAGCCGCCCGTGCGCGCTGCTGCACCCGCTTCCCCTGCGCTACCTGCTGCTCTCCGCGCCCACCTGTGCCGAGGCGCTGGGGAAAGCGGAAGGCGCGGACCTGGAGACCTCGAGCGCCCTCGCGGCGCTGCAGCCGTCGCTGGGCTCCTCGCCTTGGGAGGAGGGCGAAGGGTCCGCGCCGCGCCGCGGAGCGGGGAGCACCTCCTTCAGCATCGAGAGCATCCTTCGAGGCGTCGGCACGGGGACCACGCGGAGTCTGCCTCAGACGCCCTGGGGCTACTGCCACCTGCTCCAGCGCCCGTCCTGCCTGGCGCACCCCCAGGCCGCGGCCCCTCTGCTGCACGTGTCCGCTGCCGCCGCCGCCCGGACGCTTTTGCAGCAGCGGGAGCAGCAGCAGCAGCAGCAGCAGCACTGTGCCAGCGGCTGCGCTCCTCCCAAAGGCGCGCTCCTAGGCCAGCACTTGTCCGCCGTCGCGGCCCTGCTGAGGTACCCGCCAGCAGCTGAGGGCCCCAGGCTGACAGCGATGACCGCCCCTTCGGCCCAAGAGGGGACCTCTCCAGCCTTTTGAGTTGCACCCACACGCGTCCTGCGGGCCGACTCCACCTGGGGCACCTGGAGCCCGGAGGAAGGGGCTCCCCGCCTCGCCTTCCCGCAGTCCGCTCTCTATCGCCCGCACGCGTTTAAATCTTGCGGCGGTGGCGCAGCAAACACTGGTTTCTGTTCGAATCAAAATAGTTACAAAGGAATAGTTTTTGTCTGTTCTGTTAAAGAAACCTGGACGTGGTAAAGACGGGGGCCATCACTTTTTCTTTCCCCTCTAAGGTTGTGGCTCCTGCAGCTTTTCCCGATGTGCACATTTCCCAGGAGCTCTGAGCCGGGGCCGTGTATTCTGGTGTGCTATTTAAAGAAAAACAAGGAAAACAGTCTCCGGTGCAAAGCATGTTTCCCTTTTCTCCTCCCCAAGAACTGCAAGTGTTCCCAGTATTCCAGTATTCCACCGCAAAACGCGCATGGGTTCCGCGTCTTCCTGAGCTAGATGTGTGAAATATGTAGAGGGTTAATTTCGGAAAGCTCACTTCTTACCCACGTCTGACCTGCCATGATCCGTGGGGAGATGCTAAATGCCTGTGTAGATGAAATAAAATGCCTACGCTCTATGTCGTTTATTTATTTTTATGTGTCCCTTACTTTCTAACCGGACTTTTTCTTAAAGCTTGTTTTCTTTCCTAGCAATTAAACAATGGCCTTTTGGTTTGTATTTCATTATAGATATCAGAACAATATATTTTTATTGTGGCTGTTAAAAATTCCTAACATTCGAGGTTTTGAAGACGTTGACGTGTAAAATGAGAGATTTCGGGGTGCCGGCTTAGCTCCGTGATAGGCAGGTGTCTGGCCCCCCTCAGCCTCGCAAAGAGAGCGAGAGGGACGGAGACGATGCTTAGAGAATCTTTAGAAGAAAAAGAATCGGGAGAGATGTGAATTTGTTCTTCAATTATTTCCGTGTTTAAAAACATCTTTCCCAATAAGCTAATGATTATTTGAGGTCAATTTGGGAGGTAGCAGACATTTTTTTCAGGCTATTCAGAGAGAATAAACGTACGCGTACGCAACGGAATTTTCAAAGCATTTTTCTTCCTTTCCTTAACTCATTTCTAAAAAGATTTTGTAAGCATTACTTGACTCCAGGTGACGGAATGCCGGGAAACAAGACCAAATGCCCATCAGGAAAATGCCTCCTGAAAAGAAAGCAGATTCCTAGAGCACCGGTCCTTCGGAACCGTCCTTCCCGAGCTGCTCTCACGCTTGTAAACGCTGTTCCCTGCTGTCCCAGTTTCCACTTCGGGAAGGAGGGGAAATTCGGAAGATCCTTTTCACAGACAGTAAGTGGCCACGGATTTCCCGCCCCTTTGCAACTCCGTTGCCCGAGTTACCCGGAACCGCTCGGCCACGCCCTCCCAGCGATCCCCACCCGCTCCGGGTCCAAGCTTTGGAACGCTTTGGACGTCGCCCCGCCCCACCCGGAGTAGCTGCCGGCTGTGGGCTGGGGACCGCACCCCTCCGCCCTACACGCGGCGCCTTCGTCTGCAAAGTAGCAAGAGTGTTCTAAGGAGATCCTCTCCTTCCCCACCTTTTTTCTTAGCAAGTCCAGCAAGTCTAGGGGGGCAGTCTGAGAGTCTGAAACAAAGTAAAAATAAAAGTCCTGTTTCGGTCCAGTTCTCCACCTGCTCGTGGTTCCGGTTCCCGTGCGAAAGTTCCCAGGCCTTCGTTCATATATTCAGTTGACTAATTTAGCTCTGCTCAGGACAGGTTTAACTCCTGGGGATCCCTCGGCGTTCCTGGTTACCGAGGCTGGACCGGCACAGCCTCGAACTGGGGTGGCCAAGAAAACTGGGGTGGCCGAGAATCAGAGCCCGAACTAGGTGTAACCCCAGACTCCTAATTTGCCCCTAAGGAAACCGTATCCAACGAAGACTTTCCGAGAAAACCCTTCATCTGGGGGACGCGAAAAGTAGGCGCTGCTCTCCGGTCCGCTGGGCCCCGAGGCGCCCGAGGGCGCGGAGAGGTGGCGCTCGGCTGGGGCCCAGGCCCGGCTCCTCCGGTGCCCGCGGGGCTCTGCGTCCGGGCGTCTGGGCTCCTCGCGGGTCAGCCCCGCCACTAGGGCGGCGGAAAACCACCTGGTGTCCTAGCTCCGTGAAGGTTCGAGGGTTTTCCTGGAGGACCCACCAGCCGGTGCGCTCAGCTCCTGGCCGGGAGGAGGGCAAGGGGCTGGGTGGGGCAGAGGCCGGGGCGGGGCAGTGGGGCGACCCGGGAAAGGGACCCCACGCTGGGTCTGGCCCTTGGCCTTTAACAACGCCAATGATAGTAATAATAATAATAATAATAATAATAGTGATCGCTGCTGTTGCTTGTGTTTTTCTGAGACAGGGCTTTCCTGCGTAGCGCAGGCTGCCTTGCCCTGTCGCCGACCCCCGCGCCCTGAGCCTCCTGAGTGCGGGGGTCACAGATTGCACCCCACTCCGCCAGGCCGACAACACTCATTATTAACCGAGGCTCCTTTTTAGCACCCCGCTCTCTGGCTGCCAGGCAGGCACTGGGTTCCCCTTAACTCCGGAAAGACGCTGTAACGACCCCCAGTGCGCATGCAAGACATTCACCCTGCAGAGAGGTGACCCCTCGCGTCTCCTAGGAAGACGCCCGTGGGAGCCCCACGCAGGCCGGGGTCTGGCGCACGCCCAGCCACGCGGTGTGCGGGCGCCCGTGGAGTCCAGCCCGGGAGGCTCCAGCGCATCCCAACCGCGTGAGTTTCCGGGCTTTTCTCCCCGTGCTTCCGGCGTCCCTCCACGTGGCGCAGGCGGAGCCGGCGCGGTCCTCACTGCCCAGGCTGCAGGCCGGAGCCACCGCAGCCTCCTGCATCCCTCGGCCACCGCCAAGGTGCAGGCCGGGCTCCCGCGCCTCCAGGCCTCGCCCACCTCCCGGCTGCGCTCTAGTCGGTACTACGGAGCTGCTGGCGCTCGACCCCAGGCGCCCAGCTGGGGTTACAGGGGCGCAGGGCTGCACGCTCTCTGCACCCTAGTCCACCGAGTGGGCATGCGGGTGGGTGCGGAGAAGGAGAGGACGCGGGCTTCTGGGGTGGGATCGCGGTCAGCGGGCAGAAAAGCGAGAGTCCAGGGACTGCGGGGATGTGCACCCCGCAGGAGCGCTGCGATGTCCTTCCGTGTGTCTGGTCTCTCTGCAGTACCCAAAATGCACAGTCCTGGCTGCTCACTGGCAAGTAGCTACCTCTGCAGAAGGCACACAGCTAGAGGGCTCAACTGTCAGCAAGAGCGAGCCATCGGTGTCTTCTAAAATGTAGCACCTGCCCTTTGTCACATTTTTGGAAGTGTGGGAGACTAGTTTGTATTCATCCCCTTCCCACATTTGGGAAAGATGTTCAGAAATTTCTTCCCACGTTAAATCTGATTATAATCTAAATAGTAATCGTTCTCTAGGTGCTAATGTCACCATCCTGTAATTTGTAAAGAGGTGCCTTCGGGGATGTGCATTCCTATCTACTCTGAAATTATTTCAGTGGGTTGTAAAAATTCATTGACTCCATGTACACTACTCCACGTAGCTGCAAAGAACTTATAGAGGTGATAACTAATGATATTAAATTTTTCTCTTAAAAGAAAAGATAGAGATCAAAAAAGAAAAGGGCTTTGAGAATACATTGAAAATTCAGTTCATTCTCGGTTCCTGTTGCTGATTTACCTTGACATAGTAAAGGGTTTTCCTGAGTGTAAACTTCACTGTTTTATTGGTTCTTAAAATACAGGAATTACGTATATTTTGGGACAGTTAATGACTTAGTGAAGTAGTCTATTCCTAAACCGAGGTTAAAGGAACAATGAGATTAAATGAAGCACAAGAGATTTTCTTTTCTCTAGATATGATTTGGTTATGCATTACTATATTTAAAGCAATATTATGGTTCATAGTTTCTAAAACTAAGGTGACTTTTTTTTGTTTTTGGTCTTTTTGAGCCCAATGTAATTTTACTTTTTTTTTTTTTTTGGTACCAGGAACTCATGAACTCACGTTTGCCAAGCAGGCACCTCCACCACTGAGCTAAACCTCTGGCCTTTTAGTCTTTTTGAGACAAAGTCTTACTATGCAGTTTAGGCTGGCCTTGAACTCGCTTTGTATCCCAGGTTGGTCTAGAACTCACAAGGATCCTCCTGTCTCAGCCTCCTGAGTGCTGGGATTACAGGTGTGTGCCACCATGCCCAGTTTAAGGTGACTTTTTAAAAGGTGACTGTTATTGTATTATACAGAGTACAATATAATTATACAGAGTATACAGAATAAATTGTGCTATATTTTAAATGCTTTACATTTCTTTCACTTTGAAAACTCATTTTAAAAAATTAAAAAATTAAAATACATGCAAACGTAGAGATATCTGTGTAATTAACCTCTGTTATAATTGTATCATATAGTATGGCATATTTTATTATATTAAAATTAACTCCTTGGCTGTGCCAACCTTGTTTCATCTTTACCATCTGATAGTCCTCTCCCTGCTAGATTATTTTAAATCAAATCCAAGATATTGTATCACGTAGTCCATAAATATTTTTGAAACTCTGTAACAGTTGAGAATTCCATCAATTTAGCCACATTTCCAGTATCACTCCTACATAATTCATTGATAGTATCAGTTTATCTTGGTAATATTTAAATATCCCCAGCCGTCTCCAACCTGTTTCAGTTTAGAGTTGGTTAGTTTGAACTAGCGTACACAAAGGGTCACACATTGCATTTGCTTGATATGGGTCGCATGTCCTTTGTGGTTTCCCCCGTTCTTTTTTTCTTTTTTCCTGCATTGTGTAGAAGAAACTGCATGGCTTGTTCCGAAGAATCTGGCATTCTATATTTTCTGACCACCAGTAGGATTTTCCAGCAAGATATACCCAGAGATATGGCTTCTTATTCAGACTTACAATATTTGTAGTGGGGTAAGCATAAGTCTAGGAAAACCTATGTGAAATTTCCCTAACTGTAAACACAATATTTTCTTCTAACTTTCAAAAATAGATTGCCATTTTTGGTGTATTCATGGATATATAAAGTTGCCAATCAAATCTTTAATCCAAAAATTTAACTTAATTTTATTTTGATGAGAATAAAGCTCTTTATAGCTTTAAAATTTCAGTTGAAGAATCCAGGGCATTTTATGTTTCAAAATTTTATGTTTTATATTGTTTTGTGTTTTCGAATGTAGAAGCTGATATGTCATACTTTTCAGTGAGGGTCAGGGGTAGAGTGATAGTTTGAACTTTGTGCTTTTTCAAAATGATTTAAAAAATCATTTTAGGATAATTGTAAATTAATGAGAATAGCATATGAAAGAAATCAGACTGAACAAAACATTCAGTTAACTAGAAGAAATAAGTTTAATAAAAATGAAGGCGGCTAGGTTTCTTGGCTCCCTATTGCTTTAATGAGTATGGATACTAAATACAGTTTCCTTTCTTCTGTGATATCAGCTGTTTCACTGTGCAGTTATTTGCTCAGGTTTCTATGGCCACCATATCTGGAACCTCTGTGAAGGTAGAACCCAAATTATATTCATGTTAATATTTCAAAAAACTTCTGACATATTCTTAAAAATGCACAGGGAAAATAGTTGAAATTTTTAATATTAGTAAGTATGTAAATTAGTGACATATATAGATAGATTTAAATATATATGATATATATTTAGATGGATATAAATATTGTTTCACATTACCAACAGTATTATTTAAAAAGTACCCACATTAGGACAAACAGATTTTAGGAAAGGCTACACTTATATGTTGTAAAGCCAAAATTAATATGTCACGCTCTTTAACCATGTATTTATTTACTTAGTTTGGTACTAGAAATCGAACTTAGGACCTGGCCTTGCTGGGCAGGCGCTGTGCGGCCGAGTTATATCCTTGGTCTCTTTAACTTTTTTTTTTTTCTTTTTTTTCATTTTTATTGGTACCAGGGATCCAACTCACAACTGCCTGCTTGCAAGTCAGGCGCTTATGCCGCTGAGCTAAACCTGCAGCCCCTGGTCTCTTTTTTAACTTTTTAATACCTCCTTGGTGAGCTGTTGATATTATATGTAGTGTTGCTGAATATTTTCTATTTGCTTTTATTTTTGGATTCACTACATTCAGCACTGTTTGACAATGTTATATCATATCTATACATAATATATGCAGATATACTTTAATATATTTGAAATTCAATAGCTTTGAAGTTTTAATCCTCGAACAGATATTTAATTTTTACTAAAACTATATAAATGCCTACTATAAATAAGTAGCTTTTGCTTATTAAAATAAAACTTAGATTATGGGGTCTGGGGATACAGCTCAGAGGCATAAGCACCTGCCTGGCATGCACAGGGTCCTGAGTTTGATTCCTAGTACCAAAAAACAAGATAAAACAAAAATGCTAAAAACCAAAAAAACTTAGATTATGTTTCCGTGGGGACGAATCCAGTTTCCAAGGATAGATGGTGATGAGAAATTGAGTCTTTTTACAAAATCTGTATGGTATGCATTCTGGTTCTATTGTTTACTAGCTCTGTGACATGGAGTAAGACATTTAAACTCTCCAATCCTCAGTTCCTCAGCTATGCAGTAGGAGTGACTATAGATTTTGTTTTATAGACATGTTGTGGGAAGTACCGGGG